AATAATACAAAGATTTGTGAATAAAGATAACAGAGACAATTACAATAGTGCGCATCCACGATCCCGTACCCTGCGAGATTCGAGCCCAGGGCCTATCAGGGTGCGGGATCATGGATGCGCACTGCTGAGGAGTCCCATACTGGGACGGAACGGCCGTCCAGTGGTTCCAGGTTTTCCATGGTGGTCTAGCTTCAATTAACTCATGATTTCAATCAGTGAAATTTTTAAAATTTCCACAAAACCCCTTCTGACAATTACAATAGTCAAATCAGGTCTTTCAATAGCTAAGATTACTATTTATTAGTTGTCCTTGAGGTTGGCCAGGAGAAGAGAAGCAGTTGAAGATATTTCTTGTGTACATAAAGCTCTTGTTTCTTTATCCAGATGGCTATTGTTTCAGTCAAAGCCTGTCAGACTTAAGATCCTTCAAACGATTTCAGCCATTTAAAGCCTTAATTGAAATTAAAGTTTTAGGTTTTATACATAGAAATTTCCATTTCATCAAAGTGTATTTTACAGCGAAATATTAAAAAAAATTTTTAATGTACGTACCTTCAATAGTTGAGATCATGATTCGATTGAAGCTAGATCATCATGGAAAACCTGGAAACACTGGACAGCCGTTTCGTCCTATTGTGGGATTCCTTAGCAGTGCGCATCCATGACCTCGCCTCGCGAGATTCGAACCCAGGATCTATCAATCCCACGCGCGAACGCTCAACCACTAGACCACACTGAGCCGGTCAGCATTCATTGGTGTTAATGTCCAAATTCAACCAATTCACGAAATTTAGCTATACATCCACCAATGTCTTCAGTGAGTTACTATCTCACAACATACCTGGTTGAACTCTACTGGTCACTGTTTCTCACTAGAAATCCAGGAAATACCTCTTGAAGCCAGTCACTAGTGATCATATGTTGATTCATATCAGAAGGGTGTTTGCACATATTACAGTCATTATAGTCATGAATCAATTGAAGTTAGACCACCACCATGGAAAACCTGGAAGCACTAGACGGCCGTACCTTCATTAAAAATGTTTCTAAACAAAGTTCCATCTACTACTTTAAATAGATATATACATACAACTTTTCCTTGAGCAGTTATATCATTTTCAATGAAAATCATTATTTTAAAAAAACCTGTTAGTAACTTATTCTATGAAAGATGGATTTCTCATGAAAAATTAGTTTTAAAAATAAAATAATAAATAAAACATACTACTGATTATACTACTGATATATTTATATAAATTATTTATTTATGCAAAATTTACATAAGATCTCTTTATCATTATCACATAGTTTATGATGATTACATAATCGTATTTAAGTTAATTAATCATTTATATACAGTAACTATTTCACATTTAAATAGAACTGTATACCTTCATTATTATTATAATATCAAATTGTATTATATAATAAAGTATTATTTATTATAACAGATGGAAAGATAAATATTAGCATTATTTCTTTTTAAATCGTAATTAAAAATAACCTAAACAGTTGTTTGAAGTTGATGAATTGATAATTAAGTAGGATAGAGAAATAATAGAAATCTGATTGTAATAAGTTTGGACTTCTTTTTTTTCCAAAGTGAAACCATATGGTTAATATATGACATAAGAAAATACCGAATTGTATACAAAGTCTAATAATATAAGTGAAAACAAAATTGTAAATAAGTTTAATAGTGGAATTTATAAGTCAATTGAAGCGAAGATCATCATGGAAAACCTGGAAGCATTGGGCGGCTGTTTCGTCCTGGCATGGAACTCTTCAGAAGCACGCATACACGATACCGCCCCGCGAGATTCGAAGTCAGGACTTCTCGGTTTCGTGAGTGAGTACTTAACCTCTAGACCATTAATCTGGCATCCAACGGTGTTAATATTTAACTTAAACTAATCCATGAAGTTACGCCACTGTCCACTAATGTCTTCAGTGACGTATTATCTTACGACAGATCCGACTGAACTCCAGGAAATACCTCTTGGAGACAATTACTAGTGAGCATGTGACGATTATAATTAGAGAGGGGTTTTGTGGATATTATGGTAATTTTAATAGTCAAATTCATGAGTCAATTGAAGCCAGATCATCATGGAGAATCTCGAAGCATTGGACGGCTATTTCATCCTAGTATGGGAGGTTAAGCGCTCGCAAGCGAGACTGACAAGTTTTCGGTTCGAATCTAGCGAGGCAGGATCGTGGATGCGCACTAATGAGAAGTCCCATACTATGGTGAAATGGCCGTCCAGTGCTTCCACATTCTCCATGATGATCTAGCTTCAATTGATTCATGAATTCGACTATTAAAATTACTATAATATCCTCAAAACCCCTCTTTGATTAAAATTGTAAATAACTTGAATATATTTGAAGTAGATTTTACAACTATCATCACTGATTTTTACATATTTCAAACTAAATAACTAATCAAAGGACATTGGTGAAATGTCTTGCATGTTAAGTAAGATATAAAAACTTAATACGAAATTTAAAATTAATTGTCTATTATTGTAAACCTATTATTTAGAAGATTATCACTGTTGAGCGTTCGAATGATCATGATGCCACACGTTTACTTTGATTATGAAATATAAGATATGGTCGACATTTATGAAGCCATTCTGACCTGCCTTTAACTTATGGTTCAATCATATGTCGATAATATTCCAAAAATATTTATGAGTTAATGCCTATGAGCCTCGTAGAGCTTTACTAATCAATGAGTTTATCCTAGCACTGTTTTACGAAGGAAATTGATAGTAATTTAGTAGTTTAGGTTAATAACGTCATAAATGAATATTCGCTAGAAATATTGTGACAACCATAAATAAGTTAACTGTTCATTTCTATTGTTTGTAGCTTTATTATGGAAAATATCTCACTGAACTTAATTGAAAGCAGTTGAGTCGTTCCCAGTTTAGGGGTTGTGGAGATTGTTAAGTTTTTGATTGAGATGAAGAACTGATTGATGTTAGAGTGTCATTGAAAACCTGGAAGCAGTGGACGGCCGTTTCGTCTTATTGTGAGACTCCTCAGCAGTGCATATCCACGATCCCGCTCGCGGGATTCGAACTCAGGGCCTTCAGTCTCGCGCGCGAACGCTTAACCTACTGGACCACTGAGCTGGCATCCAATGGTGTTAATGTCTAACCTCAAACAATCCACGAAGTTGCGTGACCATCTTCCATTGTACAAGTACGAATCTCAAGTGACATTGAGAAATATTATCCAATCCTGAAACAGTTCGTATAGAGTAAAAATATACAAAACCAAAGAAGTAAAATGGATACACTTCTTTTACATGGTTCAGAAATTTGTCGAGGTTAGAAAGGGGTTCAGAGGTTCTAAATTGTAATGCATACGGTAGAAGAACCCATCCATATGGCTCCATAATATTCGGCCTCTAAAGCCATGATAAGGTCGCAAAAACTCTTTCAGCCTCGATCACATAGCTTAGATATTATTTGTGTGCACTCCGGTTGTCGGATCCACAAAATGCCGCTTGTGGACAACGATACGATGCATATAACCAAGTCTATGTATGCATCTGTACGCTTTCCAATCATCCGTATATATTGTAGTACCCGGCTGCAGCCAGTGTTACTGGTGCTTTTATTATCCAGTTCGCAATTTGCCTTAATCTCAATCTGGATCAAGCGATAAAACCCTATTCTAGCAGACTTCTCCCTCCAACACATATTACATCGAGAGACAACATCATAACGATAGTCTGAACAAGGTTCACAGGTCATGTGATCATCACAATCACAAATAAAGGAACTTCTTAGTAGTCCCAGTCATTGTAGTCGTTTAATTATCTTGTTTCCTCTACAATCCACTATGAACCGATCGTAGGTGAACATCAGGTAGTGAAATTGACACTATGACCTTGAAATCCCTCAAACGTTTCTGATTGGCTCATTCATAAATTATAGTCTAGCTGGAATTTCAAATAAATGAATGATTAAAATCTTTCCTCTAGAAAGTCTTTCATTAGATTTTCGACATAACAAATGAAATCGTGAAATCAATTAATTTTTTTTTCTAAAAATCCATATATAATGAAATATAAGTTTCATTTCCTTAATCTATTCAACAATTCATTCAATGTGTTGCTTATCATGAATGGCAAAACTTATTTCTAGCGATGGCTCAATTAAGAAAGTTCGAATAAATATAATTGTTTTCAAAGGCTGTTTTTGTTGACAATTAATATCTTTTGTATGTATGTATGTACGTATGTGTGAGTGTAGGATTTATTTAAGAAGTGAGCTAAACAACAAAGCTGATTGTCTGTTGTGACTTTATTTAAAATTAAACTCTGCTTAATTCTCTCCTAATTTCTTCTAATGGTGAATATATATATATATATATATATACAATGAGATGAAACACATCAAGACAATTTTCATTCTGAATTGGCTTAGCTTACTGAAAACTGATACAATAGAATGACAAGGTAAAACATTTATAGAAGTAAATACGTATGGTTTCAGAAAAAAGTTTTCAGTCTTACTTGACCATTTGTTTAACTGTTTAAATTAATTTAAACCATTACACGAGATATTTATCATTTGTTCATCTAGTGATTGATTTCAAAATGATTTCCTTAGGTCCCGATAAACCAACTGACTAAGTAGAAAAAGAATTCATCACGACTGATATCATTTTTAAGGGAAATGATGAATTAAAAAACTACATAATTAATTAGCAAAGATGGATAGTGGTTAGCAGTGGAATCCAGGACGCGCGTTTCGTCCTATTTCGGACTCGTCAGATAGATGTACCTGCATCGCAGAATTGATGTTCACTCTGGAACTCTAACCCAGTACCGTTTGCTTGAAACGCCATCGCGTTATCCACTTAGTTACTGAGCCCTGAGAGCCACTTGCTTATGCAATTGGGTGAAGTTTCAATTCACTCTCTTTTTCGTGATTCTGTCTGTGACATTGTGTAAAAACAATTCTCTTTTTTTCCATTTTCAATATACAGGAAGCATATAAATAGAGAAAATGTTCATAAGTCAATATGTATTGACTTGTTTAGTTAAATTGATTCATCTTTTAGACAACTATCCATTTCCAATTCCATATCATTCGAATAAATGATGAATAAATTCTCATAGTTTTATGATCATTCTAGGTTGACCTATACACGATTGCTAGTGACGGAAGTTTGTTCCCAACCAGAATTTTCCCCTATTATTGTTGTAGGTATTTGTTGTGTCCCGATAAGCATAATGAATGATAACTTTCGGGATCCATTTATGGACTAATACTATGCGTATATTTTTATTGTATAATTGTTAAATAGCTAAACTATTCATATTTATACCCTTCTTATTATGAACTTTATTTTGACCTATGAACTATTATGCGTCATTGATCTGATCGATAATTCACTGCTCTCTAATTGGCGGTATCATTACGTTATACATTAACAGGGCACACAGGTCACAAGTTATAACAGTGTTATATCTCCGAACTCACACCATCAACAATCAAGAACATTGATTATTCATAGATAATTGATCTACATTTAATTGTGTAATCTTCAATTCAATAAATTCGTAGCAAATTCATGAAATTTTCTGAATACTATACTACTGTACTATAAAATTGTATAGTATGTTTTACTAATATTGTTTATTGTATAAAGTTGTAATCTGTTACATAAATTTTAGTTACATGAGATTACTTTGTAACTCCGCCTGGAGTCCCTCCGGGGTCTACTGCCGGTCCTAAGCCCGGACAAAGGAGGAGTGTTGGGCATGGGGTTAGTGACCCCATCCCGTAGAAAACTAACTCGCTAAAAAAAACACGCTAATCAGTGATTACTTTGTATTTGAGGAAAACAACTAAATTACCAATTATCTTTATCTTCTTTTTATTATGATTCCTTGTATAGGCAACATGTATGATGTGCATTAAATTAGCAGTTGAAAAACGAAGAATTTTCAGGCGAACACTATAAACATCAGTCTATAATTCTTTTAATATACAAGAACTTGATGACGAATTTATTAAAGATGATTGTTCATTCAAACATATTATTTTTTAAAATTTGTAAATACTCTGTAGGGATCTTTAAATCGTTAAGTAAGAAATAGAAATAGGGATTTTATTACACTTCGCTAATTAGGTGAAAGTCAGTATTATTAACATTTTTTTGCTTATTCATTAAGTTCTTTCATCATTGGTTCCTTTATAGTTCGATATTTGTCCTTTCATTGTAATATCACTTTTTTTTGGAATTAATTAGATGTTTCATTGGTTGACTAGTTGAATCAGGTGATGGATTTTCTTTATCATTGAATACTTCTACTTTTGGTGCTGTTACTGTTGTTTTTGACTGCGAATCATTTATGAAGTGCTTAAAATAGCACTTATCACCATATGAACAGTTACCGGTGGTTGAATAGTTTCGACATATTTGACTACGAAATTTTGGATGGGATTTCGGATCTCGCAGTTCTATTATACCATGTGCAAAATGGCATCTTATTCCAGCTGGACAATAACCATCATGTTCTTGAAAATATCTGCATACTTGTGTTTTGTAGCGTATGTTGAATAATGAGTCGTTCTTACTTTTTGAATTATTTGATGGAACCTAGACCGGTAAAAAGGAAATTATAGTTTTGATTTCTGGTCTCAATGTGGTAAGGTGTCTAACAGTCTACGAAAATAAGCAAATCGATTTGAAAACAAACTCATATTGGTTTATCTTTATGGAAAGTATGATCGTAGTTGTTAAGAATATCCATAAATCAAGATATGGACATTGAATAAAGGTTCGCTCACAGGCATCTGAGGGATTTCAAAATCTCCATAAATCAGAATTTGAACGCATACTTTTGTCTTCATAGGCCCCTGCTATGTGAAGCAACGGCCATTTTACATGTATTACTTGTAGAGTTGACATTCATAGAACGTGTTTTTAGTTATCTCGGTGGTACAGGATCTGTAGTAAGTTTCCTGTTGATCTTTTTTATGGATTGTAGTCATGAAGGTGGTATTTGGACAAATATATTTGATCGAGATACCAACTTTAAAATCTTTGGTAGACTAGTGAAGGTCAGGAACCATTACCGTTTCTACATGCTCCCCCTACATGTTCCCCTTATCCTTGTCTTACATTAGCGTAGACAGTCGAATGTTCATCTTACTCCGACCGTCATTGTAGCATATTTAAAGCCTACTTGCTGCGAAATTTATTCGTTACTTTCTAAAGAATATATTTGGCTATTATTTATTTTCGACCAAAGTTCTATTTTAAACATCAGTACCCTATGAAAAAATTAGGCTGCAATAAAAAATATTAAAGCTGATCCTAAACAATTCGCAAGAAGTTAAAATTACCTCATACTCATTTGATGATTTACACATGTTTTAAAGGTTATTGTTTATTTTTCCATTAGCTCCAAGATCCGATCGCTTTGATAAAACGAAAACAACTGGTCCTTGAAACTTTACAAGAAATGCTTATCATGTCATCAATAATGAAGTTTCAGAAATTTGCCTCTGTAGCATTATTTTTCAACCTCGAGTTTTGATTGATCAGTAGGAAGAAGGTCCTCATATTTTGCAAACGATGAATCGAATATGGTGTTCGCTGAACGTAAACCTTGGCTAAGATACACAGTTTATGAGAGGTTGCCTCAGTAACTCAAAAGTTTTGCAAATTCATTCGATTATGTTTTTCTGATCCGAATAAGGGAGAATATAAGTATGCCAAGTTAGTAGTGTTTCTCGAATACACCAAAACATTGACTTAGTGGATGTTTAGGGCCTTTTAAAATATCAGTAGAAACTTGACAGGAATCTAGTTCGGTCACTTACTGGTTAAATATTTTAAAAAGTTACTATTGCAGAAAAACAGTTATATTTATGGATCAAAGTTATTCAAAAGGCTATCTGAATCAGGCGTAGTTACACATTTATTCTCACCTAGAGCAGGACTTCTTCTAGACTAGGACGTCAGTCATATTTGAAATAACGCGAAAATGTGTAAAACCTCGACAAGGAACTCAAATTGCTGAGTCTAATGCCTATAGATTAATAAAACTGTGCATAACCAAAAAGTCAAAAATAAAATCGCCACAGAAAGACAAACAGCTATTATTTTTCTAATATTTCACTGGTTCTCGTCTATTTGTGATATCAAAACGAGTTCGAATATGAAAACCTTAGTTTTGTCTAATGCTCTAAGTGCACTGTTTGAACTACTATTTCACAAAGTAAAATTTCCAATTTGTTACCGATTTCCCACATTACCTCATACTCAACTTCAGACATAATAGGAAATTCGCTCTTTTAAACCAGAAATACGCAAGATCAACCTCTATTTTCCACTCCCTCATACAATTCCAAACCCTGTCTGAATTGCGTACTAAATCATATAGGCTAATTGTTCAGCTCGCCTTATCTCTCTCTCTCTCTTTCTCTTACTGTGTCTCTTATAATTCTGTTCAGTTCTTGATATTTTGTTGAAGTTAATCTATTTTCATTGTTCATTAAATATTTATCGTCTACAAAGTTGAATCATCGAATATTGGATCATCAGAACACTTGGAGTATTCGTTAACTGAATCACTTCATCATATCTTGAGTTTCTGATTCAGTTATCTTGAAACACTGTTAACATTTTACATCAGTGATTTTTTGTTAGTTAGTACTGTTGATAGATACAATTTTCACTACTGAACAGTAAACTAACTTCCTTGTGACGTTAAGTTAATTAGACCAGTTATATCTTAGAATTCTGTTACTGATTTAATTAGTTTTATTCAATTTTTATCAATTTATTTCAACTACATGAAATTTATGATTGACTTTGGCTTACATAATAAAATTAAAGTATTGAGATTAGATGGTGGTTGGAGGTAGTCGATAGGAAACCCTAGACCCGGGTTTCGTGCTACTCGGCACTCGTTAGCAAGGTGTACTGTAATCTTGAGGGAACTGGTGCTCCCTGGCGGATCGAATTCCGTGTAACCCAGCTTCACAGTCAGAAACGTTACCACTGAGCTATCCGCGTCGCGACCGACCTCCTGTAGAACTGAGATGTAATCACAATTGATTGATCACTGGGTGGTGATCAATGTCATGTGTGTCAAGTCCTTATTTAGTGCAGATCGAATGCTATCGACCTGTCGACTACCTCCAACCACCATCTAATTTCAATATATAGTGCATGCAGTGTGGAGTCACCTAGACTGGTGGCCATATTGCAACATGGTCGATAGCATTCGATGTGCACTAATAATAAGGACTTGATACACATGACATTGATCACCACCCAGTGATCAACCAATTGTGAAAATTAAAGTATATTTACACAAAGATAGCTATTATGAAATAATAAATCAATAAAATGACAGATTACTCTGATTATTTATCTAGGATAGTTCTTTCTATCAAATTAGATGAGATTCACTTGATATTGTTTGGCTTGTATCTTCCCATTGAGGTTTAAGACTGCAATTGATTAGTCTGTTATTGGCATATGTACATACTGTGTGTATGCCTCGATATTGCCTCAATTCACAAGCTATTTGTAAGCAATGATGGATAGTGGCTAGCAGTGGAATCCAGGATGCGCGTTTCGTCCTATTTGGGACTCGTCAGCTGGATGTACCTGCATCTCAGAGTTGATGTCCATTCTGGGACTCGAACCCAGTACCATTCGCCTCAAACGCCATCGCGTTATTAGATAAGAGATGTCTTATTTGTTTATCATCAGATTATCATAATAATGATCCACTACTTTAAACTTGTTCAATTTCTTACCATAAAAAAGGGAAAAAAAGAATGATAAAACTTTTGTTTAAAAACTGATCAAAATATTCTTCATAGATAAAATTAGAAAATCCATTTGTAAAATTCTACAATGATAATCATTAATCCATTTCTACTTACTTTATTTAATGTTTTCCTATCAACATAATAAGCTGAAATTGGTTTTGTTTGTATAACGTAATTTGATTTAAAATGATTTACTTCTGATAAATCATTGGTTAACTCGAATGGTGATATATTTATAATATTTAATGACCGATCTGATGAAAATAATTGATCTTGTTGATAATGAAGATGATGATAATAATAATAATAATCATTTATTGAAAATGATGAACTTTGAATAGGACATAACGTTGTACTGGATGATGAGATTGATGGTGATGATGAAAATGTGGGGAACTGATATTCCGATGGAATTCTATTAACATTTAAGCAAAAATCAGATGTATCATTATTAATTTTATGTTGAATAGAAAATTCATCTGATTTATTCAATAAACTTATTGATCTATCACATTTATTAAGCAATTTCAGAAGGTTAGATTTTTCTTCACAATCAGGAAAATCTTTCAATGTATACTTAACAAATAGTTTTGCATGTTTTAAATATCCATAAGTTTCAATATAGTTCTCATATAATTCCATTAATACACGTTTAGAATGAATCAACTGACATGAATAAGATGATGACGATAATGATGACGATGATGATGATGATGATGATGATGAGGAGGAGGAGGAGGAGGAGGAGGATGGTGATGATGATACTAAGGATGAATAGTCATTTATTTCATTATTAGTGGTTGTGTTAACAATAGTACTTTTACTGCAATTATAATTTGACTCATTTTCATTAAGTTTATGTTTACTTTTTTTCATTAAGTAAAGAAATAATTTAGTCATTGGTAGTAAAACCAATTTTTCAATGATAAATGGATCTTTTATAATGAATTTAACATCAGAATAAGTAGTTTTTAAATAAAATCCCGTGAAGCATTTGTCAGTACGTTGATTGATATTAGTATTTTTTGTCGTAGAAATAGTAACATCAGAGCTAATGACACTATTATTATCATCATCATCACCATTATCATCATCAAAAGATTGAATCTTCGATTCACTATCTTCTGTTTTCAAATTCATTATAGGTATTTGTAGATGAGAATTTTTTCGTTTCTTCTTTGATTTTGATAAAAATGAAGTTGATGGTAAAATGGTTTGATCATTAAGTACTGGACTATCCAATAAATTTCTTGGTAATAAAGTTGCAATTGTAGGACTTAGATTTTCATGACTGTTAAAATAATAACCAGTACTACTACTAATAGTGTCGTCAATATTAAGACTATCAGAGCTAATGTTACACTTTGATTTTGATTTCATAATTTGGCTCATTGGTTTTCATTGTTAAGTTGTGCTTAGATTATATTTATAATTTGCGGGTAGAACTATAAAAAATCACATGTTAGCTTTTGCGAACATTTTCTAGTACAAATAGCATGCTATGAAACTTATCATCTATATATTAACTAGTAAATAAGGTCACTAATTATGAATATGGTTAAAAAAACTCTGAGTGGAACTGTTAATTGATTATTTCTAAGTTTTCTTTAGAATTGCGCTGAATAACGAAATAAAAAGCGAGTCATAGGCTATAAATATGCCGTGCTTATTACAGATTAAACTAACACATGGTTACTATTAGTCGATAAAATACGTATTTGAATTTGATAGTTATCATGTGCATCCAATAATGTTTTTAATGTTTTACTACTTAATATTTGTAAGTAAGCTAATTTTATAATGAAATTAAAAAGGTTGAAATTAATGACCGAAAGACGATCCAATGATGTACTTGTCAGAAGAACCCAGAATCACATCATTAACATTAATTGTGGCTAGGTGTTATTATGAAAAATTTAGATGTCATAAAGCATACTTCTGATAAAAGTAAGTTAAAGTATACAATTACAGAAATAGCATGACTGAAAACTCCTGAAAGTTTTTCCAATTTACATGAAGCGGGGAGTCAATAAAAAACTAAACTTAATCATACGAAGGAGGTTCATCTGTTATGGAAATTGCAAAATTGCATTCATATACTTATGAGGTCTTAACTCTGTTTCCGACTAAAAAGTGTATTATATAAACAAGCAGTATCACATTACTAAAAAACAGCTTAAATTGCCGTATATAGTTTTGCTCGGTGAATTAATTCTACACATTTTAGCTTTTCTTTCTCTGAATTAAATCCTTGCGAATTCCGATTTGACTGTCACTTCCAATGATAGCACAAAATCCATTGAGTAAAACTAAATTTTGGAAGAGATAAAGTACCAATTTTAAAAAAGGTTGTATGATCATGTAAATCGTACACAATAAATTACCGCAAATATGGGCAGTGTATAGTTGTACTGAATGTACACATTTTTATATTATTATTAGGATCAACAAAATTCTAGACGGAAGCAGAGAAAGATAACTTTATTCTTATAGTTCTTCTTTCATCATCGAGGCCTTATGATATTATGTTTAAAAGAAACACTGAAACTACTTAACCTTCATCAGATATAAGTACTGATGTGAGGGTTTAATATGGCTGCAAGATATTTTAATTCATTCGAATAGATCACCAGTAATACATGTGTATTTACTCAACATTTTACTACAAAAACTTCATATCTTATCACTTTAGTTTTTTTAGCTGCTACTTAGTAAATTCGTTTACTAGCCCTACTTCTACATTTTATTATGATAATCCTTAACCCAAATCAGTGCATTACTACACCAGTCGATAAATTACAGTTCTATTTTAACAATAAAGAAATTAAAGGTAACTAACGTTGAATTCCCTTTTTGTTATTCTTAAAATAATCAATATTGTCCAATAACACAGTCCTAATACTTCCTAACTGTACAATTGATACTCATTAATATATCAAATAATTGGAACGTACAAATTATGCAAATTCGGTTTTTAACATATACTAAAACGAATTTCTAATATCATTATATATTTCACATTTTTATACTCAGAACATAATCTACAAGTATCAAAGCTAACAACATAGAAATACCCAACAAAATTTTGACTTCTCTCGCTCAATTTCGTGGATTAGTTGAAATTAGACATTAACATCTTTGGATGCCGGCTCAGTGGTCTAGAGGTTAAGCACTGATAGGTTCTGGGTTCGAATCTCGCAAGGTGGGATCGTGGATGCGCACTGATGTTGCGCATGCAAAACTCTAGCTAACTTTTCATTAATTAATTGTTCATTTTATAAAACTCATTAACTAAATAATGGTGACAATTATAATGTAGCTTCTGATTATGTTATTTATTCACAGAAGTAATTAAAAATAAATTTTAACATCTTAATTACATTTGAGATTGAATGTAATATCAGTTATTTTATATATATGTCAAGAATGATGGACTGAAATTCAAATATACTTACTCACTCCTGTTACTCCTCGTGGAGGAGTGGAGGCCGCCCACTGGCACTCTCTACCAAACCCTGTCCTGGGAAATCTTTTCCAACTCTTTCCAATTGTTATTCATCCTTTTCATATCTGACTCTATTTCCCGATGTAATATGTTCTTTGGACCTCCTCTTTTCCGCTTCCCTTCAGGATTCCAAGTTAGGGTTTGACTCGTGATGCAGTTTGGTGATTTCCGTAGTGTATCACCTATCCATTTCCATCATCTTTTCGTGAATTCCTCCTCAGTCGCAAGCTGGTTTGTTCTCTCCTACAAAAGGCTGTTGCTGATAGTATCCGGCCAATGGATATTTAATATCTTGCGTAGACAGCTATTCATAAATACTTGTATATTCTTGATGATGGTTGTAGTAGTTCTCTACGTTTCACTTGAACTAAAATGATATTAGTATTCTTGAAAACTAGGCTCATATTTCCTGAAATAATTAACAACTAAATTTTTTATGGAACCTGAATATTAACTAGACTGTAGGATCTATAATTGTTGTTACTATCAGAATTTAATCGGGGGGTGTATCAACTTAATTAAATAAGTGATCAATCATAACTGTCAGTTCATCTTTTCTGTGAAATTCCAAAAGCTTTAAAGCTTAACTCATTATCTGTTAAGGAGTGAAGTCTCATCAGTCCTGATGAGTATGTGATTGATGAGATCTCGACAGGGATTCAGAAAGCTCGATTGGCCTTGGCCGGATCGCGTTACTTGTAACTTAGGCAAGATGTTCGTCTCCCAATCAAAGGACGAGTTTGCTGATCAACAATTCTACTTTATGAGTGTGAAGAACAACCACTAAAGATAGAAAATATTCTTAAACTACTAGAACTCAATCATAGGTGTCTTCGAAGTACTGCTCACGTACTTTGAGACTACCGTAGTTAGGTATATGGTGCAATGCGAAGATAGGAAATCGGTTGATAGGTTTGAAAATCATCGTCAACCGAGATGATCGGAACATGTATTATGTATGCTAAATCATAGCCCATATGAACGGGTGATATTATCTGGTGTCGGATTGGGTTATTGAAATGCTAAGGATGACCAAACCAAAACGTGGCTTCGGGCCATGAAGCCATTGACTGTTGGTCGGAGCTACAAGGATAAACACAGACTATCTGGTTGTGGTCACTGTGATAATTCCAACCAACGGTTGGAGACTCTGAGTGACGTAGCTAGAGATCGTTCGTAATGGTGCAGATTCACATACTTTTAATCCTCTTTATTCTAAAAATCCCAGTATTCCTTTCAACATACCCTTCCACTCTTTTTGAACCATGTTCTTGATGTTCAGTTTTTTTCATAATCGCTACCACATGACTTCAATCTCGTTTGTAATTTATTTCCTTAAGTTCATCCCACCGTGTTAATGTATTATGGAAACTTGGATTAAGATACATCCGTGTTACGGTCTAAGTTAATGATAACTCACTTACATTAATGTCCAAAATCAATTCTAGTACAGTACAAGTTAAAAAACGAATTTGCATAGTTTGTACGTTCCATTCATTTAATATATTAATTAATATCCATTATATATTTAATAAGTATTAAAACCGTGTTATTGGACAATATTGATTATTTTAAGAATAACAAAAAGGGAATTCAAATTTAGTTAACTTCAATTTTAGGGAAGAAGTGGCTAAGTAATATTTAAAAATCCTTCTCATTTGATATACTCAAAAGTTTATTTTTTAGTCGTGTCGGTAGATGCAAACCACCTGGTTGTGGATCGTGGTAACTAGGACCAGTGGTTAGAGATTTGTGTGGTCTGACTCAAAGTCAATAATAAATATATTTTTTGTTATATCCCAATGAGTAGAAAAATTGTATTTCTGACGTTTCGTGACTTAATGTAAGGCACTTCTTCAAGGCAAACAAACAATAGAAACTAAATTAGTACAACTTTTAATAGTACAAAGGAAACATTGTCAATTTTGATTATTTATTTACTCTGAAGAAGTGGCTTACATTAAGTCACGGAAAGTCAGTTATACAATTCTTCTACTTATTGGGATACAACAGAAAAATTCTCTACCCAATGCTCAATTTTTTCGAAACTATCGAGTCCAACCTTGTTATTGATACCTATGACTCAGAGTCGTTTATAATGGTGCAGGTGCATCTATTCTCTGTTCTCCTTTAGATTCTAGGTCCAAAAGTTGTAAAAACTCTTTCCTTTCTATGGCTCATCTCAAATCCAGCTACTGATATTGTTACTACTTCGACTTCTCTGGGATTTGTCTTGACTTTATCTCATTGTGCTAATGAAATGTGAAAACTTGAACCGATATATATGTGCTTCAGATCCTACGTTGCATATGGCTGAGAATTTATGATATTACAACTCAGAGTGGCTAGCTTTATATACTACACCGGACATAACCACTAAGTTCTTGCAGCTTGATCATACCAATCATTTTTGTAATTGCTTGTTCAATTGACAGCTTTCATGCTAATTTACATATCGACATATTGAGTTTTATGCATTACGCTAAACGTGATCTATACATGTTGAGACTGAACCCTTGGAAAACAGATCGGAAGTCGCTGGACGGCTTTCTCAGTGCTGATTCATAGTACCGAAACCAAATTCCAAGATTCTCGATGAAATCTCCCAAATGACAGATATGAATCACAGCACACTGAAATACCAAGTTACTTAACTTAGTATACAGAGCGCCTAGTCATTAGGATGTGATGAGCTTTGACATCAGTCAGTCAGCTACAACATAGGACCAAGCACATATATGCATCGGTCCAAGATTTCATACCTCATTAGCACAGCAAGATGAACACCGGATTCATAGAAGTAGTTAATTCAATGGTGGTAATACATAAAAGAAAGATTGCATATAAGGATATAGTACAGGAAGAAAGAAAGATATGAAGCAATTTTAATCTCATAGTTTAGGGGAAGACATAGTGTATACACCTACGCTATTGTGATCGAATCTGAGCCATTTCACCAAGAGTCTCCAACCATTGGTTACGCTAGTCAAGCGGACCGCAATCAAGTAGTCTGCACCCACCAACATGACTAAGACCAGAAGTTAGTGTCTTCAAACACTGATGCCACATTTTAGTTTGGCCGCCTCTAACTTCCTTCCAACCATTCCCAACACCGGTTAGCATTGCACGACGATAATATAAAGAATTTTTACTCCTTGGTAACTGGTATTTGTCCTCTGCTATTTGCATTGTTTAAGCATCAACTTAAAAACTATTCACTGAACTACAGTATATTGTACAAACTACTACTGTGATACAATACATATTTCAAATTTACTGAAAGATCTTTTTCTCTACTGAAATAGATTCTCATCAGAAAAACAATCTTTGTTTTTTTAGTAATTTTATCTTTTCAATAGATCAATGTTGCACAACTATATTATATACAAAAATTTCCTCTATTCAACATAAACAATATATACTCAATATATATATATATATATATATATATATATCACTAAGCAAAAAGGAAATTATTATTGATTAGTAGGAAAATATTGTTTTTTTTTAATTTTTATTTTTCTCAAGAAACATAATCAATAATGGTAACGGACAATAGTTGATAAGCAGAACAAACAAAAAAACTCACAACAGGAGAATATATAAATAAACAATGAAACAAATATATATGCAAAACAAATATAGAATGAAATCAAAATGAATATACCATAAATAATGGTTAATATAATAAATGAAGAGAGAAAAAAAATTATTCAAGCTATTGTAGAAATGTTTCATAAATATTGATCAGTTTATTCTTTTTCTAACTCAATTAAAATATCACCTTCACCGACAGAATCACCAGCTTTGAAATTTACTTTTTTAATCTGAAGGGAAAAAAAGTTACAAATATAAAAATGAATTTTTATGAAGGAATAGAAAAACTTAACAGGAAAAAGTAGGAAAGTAAATATGTAGTATACATATTCATTTGTGAGCTTTATAGTTACTCTCCCAAGTTGCTAAAATCAATACTAATCCGGTTACCTTTTCAAATCATTTAGAAAAGAGTATCCTTGTATAGTGTGGCCAACTGAGAAGTGACAGTTACCCTTATACATTTAAGAGCAACTGAAATCACTTTGCTTACTATCAAATCTCCCGAAAGCCGCATCACAATATCTTAACTGATGATTTTCCAAAAGCGATAACTTGTAAAATATATCATGAGTTACTAGTAAGTAAAGAATTTGGTGCAAAAGTTTGATAGCTTGCATATTTAATAAGACAGCGGCTAAAGATGAACAGATAACAATGGTAAGAGAAGACAGACAAACAGAGAATGGATAGATGGTCTCCAATTTTTGTAAACTATTGAAGGGTAGCTGGATCTACACTTGTGAAATGAATTTTGAGTCAACTTCCCAAAAAACCAACTTATTTATTTTACTCTTGTGGTGATATCAACTGGAAACCCTTTAGCCATTTAAATGAAACAAATCAGGATTTAGTGATTTTGAACATCATTACCACATTTTTATTTGAACGATCAAAAATTTATTTTATCTTAGTTTAACTATACCCAACACCATCATCAACACCTTTCCACGTAGCCACTGACTTAACATATGTAATGAATATTTGATATCTTATTCTGTTTAAGTTTGCGACATCCTAAAAAAAACTCACTTCACTTAAAGGACTTGTGGACTAAACCATCCAGTGTCCCGTTAACACTCAGTCATACTGAATGAACATGGACAGTGCAACACATTTAGTGTCCTGCTATTTTCTAGCCCTAGCTGCCATAATTTAAACTTGTATGTAAGGAAACAGAAGGAATTTTCAGTATTCATCTGACCACACAGAAGCCTAAGTCGTGTGTCACACACAAACTTACAAAATAGGCTTCCAGAATTTTTGAATAGTATCAGTTCATTATTCTGAGCATAAATCTAAATAAAAAATCTGAACACTGTTAAAAAGATAGAATTGCATGTTACAGTAGTACAGAATCGTAATTAATTAGAAAAACAACTAGTGTTTCCATTGTTATTATTATTATCGTCATAGTGTTCCAATGTTCAATAAGCATTAAACATAATATATGATGTAAACATATTCACGTACAAAATTCCGAAATAATAAAACTTACAACTCCCGATCTCGATGCTGTCATGCTGTTCTGCATCTTCATGGCTTCTAATACACATAGTTCTTGACCTTCGCTCACTCGATCACCTAACTTAACTGCAACGGAACGAACCAAGCCAGGCATAGGAGCAATACAAATTGAACCATAGTCGATAACACGGGGGGGAGGCATATAAGCGGCACGAAACCATGCTGCCGTTGTGTTCATAATTTCTATGGGAAATGCAGTACCAAGATATTGTAAACAAACAGTATTGATACTTTTGTCGAGTAACTGCAAAGTCACCTAAATAAATTATTAGGAAATAATTTTGCAAACAAAAGAAGGATGAGACTCTTATGAATAGAATATTTTATTATAAATTCAAGCAGCTATGAACAATTCTGAAGAATTTTTTAAGTACATGCAGTGCCCAATCAGTTAACCCGTTTGAATTTTAACCACGTAATTATGAGTTCAAACTCTAATATATATGCTTAAGTTGGAGAAGTTATTTTACTAAAAAAGGATGTTCAACCCATTACGTAGTAAAGAATTCTTCTCATTAATACATAATCAAACTTGCTTAAAACAATAAAATTTTTGAAAACCTACGTACATATACAAGACAATTAAGAAACAACCTAAATCAATTAAAACCTTCAACTTCGATGTGGAAGATGACCATAATCATCACGTTGACGCTCAAATATAGGTTACGCGAACTTAGTATTATTATTACTAGTCTATCAATGGGTGCTGAGGCTTGTGTGGTGGTAAGGAAAAAATACTCAAAACTTTAACTTTGAACAATTGCAATCATACAAGTCAAACTTTATTGGAATAGTTGTCGCAAAAAACACCATTAATAAAAAAAGAATGAATGGTTACTTGAAGAGAATTATTATGATATCAAGTACGCAGTATATAAACTCTAAATGATAATCTTTGCAAGTCTCTCATAATGAAGTCAACCAGGCAACCATAGAAAATTGTTTTGAAGGGACCGAAACAAACGGCTCATTCACCGGGATTTTCAACAAAAACAAGAAAGCGTAAATTTCCTTGTAAGATTTCGCCTTTCTTCCTGCTCACCAAATAATTTCACAAGATATTTCAAAGCACAGTAGACCTATGTATATGCAAACATTTGTGGTAAATATTATCCTACCTTAAGATGACTGTAGGGAATCAGAATGAAGTATTGAAACTACATTTCGTGTTATCTGACACTCGACATCAACGGACCTTAGCAGTCTAAAAAACTTATGTTCCGTCAGGGACTTAACCCTACTATCAAAGATGTTACGCCATAACGCTTGAAGCGAAAAGTACTGGGTTCTAGTCCCGGAGTGAACATCAAATCTAGGATAAGGGTACATCCAGCTGACGAGTCCCAAATAGGACGGAATGCACGTTCTGGATTCCACTGTTAACCACCATCCATCTTTGTTTATAATGCTTGTAACTTAAGGCAATATTGAGGCAATCCGGACGGGATACCCATATGCTAATAAGAGACTGATCAATTGAAGTCCTAAACATCAATGAGAAGATTCAAACAAGCAATACAAAAATGAACAAACATTTTTACTTTGTTTATTTATCTTCATTTTATACATGCTATGACATGTTTGGCTCATATCATATATAAATTTGTATGTTTTCTTTGAAAATCCACCGATCAGAAGCGATAAACTGTCAATTAAATTTCTTCTCACACCTCAGATCCACTTAAGAATACTCATAATCTGTTATCTTAACACGCTTTTTGTAAAACACCACATGTCTCATACGCACTACAGTAAATATTTAGTTCAAACATTGTTAACATGACTAACTGACCTATTTAGTATACAGTTAACCGGAGAACCATGAACCTATTTATATTCGATAATTTTGATGTCTGGTTATATTTCCTGGAAAGAGCTTGAACTGGATTGCCGAGCGAAACATTAGGTTTACTTAAAATTCAATCGTTGAGATTTTACAGATGTATTCTCCCTCCTGAATGTTTTACATTAACTCGGTGTCCAAATACTGTGAAATTATTCGTTCAAATTTAGACGAAAGTTCTTGAAGACTATATTAATAATTTTGATGTACAATTCAAAATTCTTGCTAAGAATATTCAGAGATATATATAGTAATTGATAAGTTGTTGCAATACAAGTAAAGAAAAATGTTGTACATGAATTAAGAGAAAAGCAAACTTATCAACTTGCTTCATTGCCGTCATATGAATGGTTTATAATTTTATCAGACAATTTAAAATTATCAGCTACTCTAACAACTGTTTCTTGCGACTTGGAGGATTGAGAAGTAGCATTTACGTCCTGTTGGTTAATATGCTTGGGAGGTTCCCACGATGACATGCGAACTTGAAAACCTGAGCAGTCACGTGTTACAATGCAGCGAATATACGAACGACTTTTAGGATCGCTATTAGCACTATTTTCATGGACAGATGCAACTAAATCCCATTGTGACTCCCTAGTTCATTGCGGAGAGATAGAAAAATTGAAAATCAGACGTCTAATAGCGAAATTTATGAATATTTGTAAGAAAATTCTAAATTAACTGATGTGGCATACAACGCACAACCAAACATTTACCATTCGATAAAATACTTACTGGTTTGACATTTTTTCAAAGAACATTAAATCTTGTAAAAAAGTTAGAAAGATAGCAAAATGTATTCGATTCTCGGAGATTGAGCATGAAATTTCTGTTCAATGTTAGTTGATACGGGAAGTCTAACGTATTATCAATTTCGAAAATCAATCGTACCTGATTTTTACGTAACATTGGAGATAATCTCACATTCTGACAACAACAACAAGGTTTCTACAAACTTGATTTATTGTTAATACTAAAATTAAGCAACGATGTAAAAAACCCTATACGACCTAACTTACAGGAAAATTTTTCAACGTTTATAAATTTTAGCTTCGAATTCTGGGTAAACTGAATTTTTATTGTTATAAGATAGATCTCATTTGTATACTCATATAAAGAATATTTCGATGATAAATCAAGTCCCGAAGTCAGAAGCATCACTCAATACCTTTACAAGAATGTCTACAATAATTGCTGAATTTAATAAACATCATTTAAGAAAACCATTTGTTCCACTGATCATAACACTTTCTTCTTAAACTGATACACGGTGGCGTAAGTCTAATTAGTGTGATATAAATGTTCATCTGTCCTTCAAGTGACAAGAAAAAACAGAAAAATATCTACATAAGTTTCTGCACAACATTGAGAATGGAATGATGTTAGAAATTTTTAAAGGTTAAAAACACAAATTTTGAACATTCTGTGTTCGACTCCTTATGTGGTCGTGGATCTACACTACTGAGGAACCCCATACCTGGGACAGAACAAATATCCAGTACTTCTAAGGTTCTTAACAGTTGTCTATCTGAAGTCAGTCCGTGAAGTAAACTAGAAATCAAATTAACATGCACTAACAAAATTCGTATTATTGTGTCAAGCTAGTATCTATCTATCCAGAATTAAATAATGAATTAATCCTTTTGATTATAGAATAAAATCTTATTGTGCGACAACTTACCCAGAACAGTTTCGAATGCGTGCATCATTTTTAGCAAATATAGATGCAGAAACAGAAATTAATGTATCTAGTTCTTTTTGATCAAGTACTTTGCCTAAAGATCAAAAGTAAGATTCACAAAAATATCTAATTTGAAATACCTCATTTAAAGCTACAAATAGATCTGATAACCAATCATCGATAAAAAAAGCTTAATCTAATTATAAGAAACTGACAACCTACATAACAAAAGGAGCATGAACGACTATTTAAGCTTTAAATACAGTTCTATAATTAGAAATGAGGGGATTCACAAGATATTAATCAACCAAGATTACGCAGTTACGAGTCTCCGTATAGCAAATTATGACCAAACCCAGAGTGAACATTAATATTGGGATGCAGATATATCCAGTTGACGAGTCACGCGTTTTAGATTCCACCACTAGTCACAATCTATCTCTTCTATATATAATCAAACGATCTAATAAATTCCATTGGCAGAGAATGAATGTGAAAATTCTACTTAGTAAGAAAGTGTAGCTAAATAGGAAAGTTCTTTTGGGAAACTGTAACCGGTAAGATTCAGTTAAGTCAAGTGTTAGGCAGGCATTACTGGCGACAATGAATCGTCCTCGCGAAATATTGCAAATCAATTAAAGTCGGAAATGAGAACCACTGAATCCAAACTTAGTGGCTTAAAGATATTGCACTCCTCACTAAATTTGAAGGCCTCAGTTTAGGTCCCTGGTGCACACTATCTAAAAGTCTCATAGTATGACGAAACAGCTCTCTAATGAATTTTAGAAATTCCCTCACTATATTCAACCTATGGTGTAAATTATTTCCAAAGAGAACAATCTCCATAAATCTTCGATATTAAGGAAATATTAAAGTGGGAAGGTAAAAAACAGTTGGTCAATATACATCGAGATTAGGAATAACAAAAAATTTGTTAACGCTGTGTTAAACAGTCAAATTTTATTAATAACTTGAGTACTGATCAAAACAGTAGGCAGCTCCCAGACACATTACTGTATGTGATGTTTGTGATAAAGGGGATCTTCACAAACTAAATATGTACTTAACATGATATCGAGGTACATATACTTGAAATCTTAACATTAACAAGACTATAATAACCACCTAAAAGACAATATGAGATTACATCTTTATAAAACAACCGCTAAATGTTTGGAATAAAATGAACCTTTGAATCCATCAGGATACACTTCAGATAGATACTTTGTCGAAATATTCCCAGATACAAAACGTTTTTCGGTGACAATATCACGAAGCAAAGGAATATTATGAGTCACACCACGAATAATATAACTGTCCAAAGCTTTGGCCATAGTGTTTAGGGCAGTTTGACGATCTGGTCCATATGTAACAAGTTTACAGATCATAGGATCATAGTATATAGAGATCTCCGATCCTTCATTGATTCCACTATCACAGCGGACATTAGGTATGTGCAAAGGTTCACTGTAAGTACGTAAACGCCCGATCGATGGTAAACCAAACGCTTTGTATGGATCTTCAGCATATACACGACACTCAAAAGCCCATCCATTCACGGGTATATCAGACTAGTTAAAATGAAAATTTAAAAGGACTATACAATGCATTAAAATGGATTATTTAGTAGACTGAAGGATATATAAGAGGAAAAACGAGTAAGATATATACTTCAACAGAAATACTCTAATAATAAAACAAATCAAAGCAATAAGTATGGACTTATTAGAACTCGGAAGGTACAAACAACCCATGACCGTTATTTTAAACTCATAATCATAATTAGATTAATGCCTGATGATCTAAGATGTTTCTGCTGAATGTATCTACACATTAAACAAAGTGAAAGAACGAATTCCGTATTTAAAGACAATTTATTAACACATCTATACTTGATTAGTAAGTAAAATTTTTAACAGACACTAAAGACGTAACTTTAGAAAAATTTTAAGACAAGAGAAATAAGCAAATTAGATCGTTGACAAAAAAATTCCAATAAAGTATTGTCTAATTACAAAATATTATTTCACTAAATTAATCTTTAACTAGATTAAAACTATCGGCTAGTGCTGATTGGATAAGAATTAGCCAATCAGCGTGCACCAAAGCAATCATGCATTGAGCATGCTTTAATCCAGTCTATGTCCCGCTAACAAAAACCATTATAGTAACAATTACCATTCATATCTTAAAGTAATATAAAGACAAGATAATATCTGTAATTTCAATATATAAATAGAATAAAAGGTTGATATTCCATATAACTGAAATTCAATTTTAAGCAGGTTTGTTTTCGCAAAAAATAAAGGAGTCTCAGATTTGGTGATGTTTTAGAACAAAGAAACAATAAAGGAGATTCAGAAGGGACTGAACGTTTAATTCTTTTTTAAAATAGTTGTTTCAAATCTTCACTTTTTAAAACAATTAGTCCCTTTGATAAATTTCGATAATACAATGAAAAGACGAAGTTTATCAAAATTATGAGATATATTTGCGCAATACATTTCGAACAATCTGACCACATATAAACTTGTTAAGACATTTATATATGAAAATCAAAAGGTCAGCTAGATAGGTTAAAGGTAAGCCGTAACAAATAAAAAGAATAAAGCACACGAAAATAATATGATAACCACTCTGGACAATAAATCAGTATTTCCAGGGTAGGTTAAGGGTAAGGACAAATTGTTTTTAAACACATAAAGAGGGTTTCAGTTTCAATATAGCCAAGGCTTCAATAAACCTTAGTATACGTCCTTGAAGGCTTTTGTACAACAGTACAAATGCTGACTTGATGTCAACCTTATGACCAGTCTCAACCAAATATTTCGCAATAAAGGAAGATGTCTGTCTATCGTGTGATCTTATTTGACCATTGGAATTCATTTGTTTTTGCAGACATTTTAGTGTGTTAACCCACCTTTAATTGCAGATCAGAACGTCCGAAATGTATTGCGGAAATATATCACATAATTCTGATAAACTTCGTTTTCACATTGCATTATCGAGATCTACCTTTTAAACAAATAGATCACATATTTCACTACATATTCCTGATATTCATGAACTTTTAGTTAATTTTAATTGGTCTAGAAATGTATAAACCCATATAATAATACAAAAATAACCATATTAGCCATGCCATAAATTAGTCTCATTAACTTGCAAAATATGTATATAATTTTGTGCTGTGTCTAGAAAAGGCCCATCAATACTTTGAATTCCCTGTTCCAAATGAAATACACGGGCAAAGTAGTAAAATTAAATTTACTGCCACTAAGCCTTGCAACATTGAATAATGATATGGTAGAAGAATTGTCTAATTTGTAAACATTGTACTGTCGATTGCTATGTTAAGCCCACATAGCTTATTCTGGTCTCTAGACCAACCCATTTATTCATTCTTCTTAAATCACATTTTGACCTTGTCAATTATTAGCTTAACAACCTTTACTGTTTTTATATGAGCGTATGTGCGTACATTTCGTATCATACACATCACATGTCTGTAACTTATTTTTGTGTGACTATAAATATCGATTAACGCTTGATTAAATCGAGTTGATTCACATGCCTTCTTCACCGCGTATCATCTCGTTTCGCTTCGTTCCTTTGATCATCAGCCTGGATCAATGATTATACAAAATATACGTGTTCAAAATTCATTCTCGTATTCGGCTTATTAAATTCCGTTATACACTAACGCGATTAATGTTTATGATTATATACGAGGATCGGTGGCATATATATTTCGAAAACGATCACTCCATAACAGTCATTCATACGATCTAATTGGAGTCAGATATTGAGTCACTAAAACATGATCATTCAAGAGATTAAGATGATATTCCAAATTACAAATAATTCAGTATACTTCATTCTAAGTAGGATAATATAAATTACTTTCGCTGAGGTTATTTGAAAATATAAAGATCGACCGGAATAATATGGAATAATAAAGATAACGATATTTTTTAATGTAGTGCGTAAAAATAAAACTAGTTGAAAGTCATACTACTTCAACCTGAAGTTTGTGCCAATGATGTCGTTCAGAAGAACGATGAAAGCTCCACGAATAAACCATCCAGCTCAAAGAAAAAAACTATCAAAATCATTCACCTGAGCTACAAATCTTCTCCACTTTGGTTGTGTGTAAAGATCACAGTTTTAAACTGACTATACTTATTCATCATTGATTTTCTACTTCTAATTGGTCATATAAGTCACGCGAATACTATCCGGTGTAGTTCAAATCCAGTATCTAAAAACTACGAACGATATATTGTGCCTTTTTGACACTCCTATTTAACCAATTATTGAAACCAAGTGTCAAACTATACGAAAAATGGCTACTTAGCCAATAAATGAGAAAAAATTACTTCATTTTAGTCTCAATTTAAAATCTGAAATTCTCCAAGTAACACTAAGGCTATTTGCGTCTTACATTTTAGATTTATCCTTCTGGTTACTTACTTTTAGCGTTATGTTCCAACTGTATGCATTTGATAGTAACCAGAGTAGAAAATCAAACAAGCGAATTATTAGTTTAAAGCATAGTAACAACAGCAAAAGCAGAGATAATTTATGTAAGGTTAGATTACACCTAAAACTGCATAAATCTCACCTGAGATAGCATTAACGGATGCCCTTTACCAACTCGAAGCATTTGATGTACAACATCAACACCAGTTATGCACTCAGTGATTGGATGCTCTACTTGAAGTCGAGTGTTCATCTCAAGAAAATAGAAATTACGTTTGGAATCAACCAAAAACTCAACAGTTCCTAAAAAATTTCGCATTATAGAAACATAAAATACATGAAATAAACACTTTGCATATATTGAAAATCCTAACCCTGAACAGAATATTTATTTTATTCCTACAACTGGGAACCTTAAATTTGGTTTGTTACAAGTTAAATGGGTCAATAATGTTTCAATGAATAGTCTTCTGCAAACTTTCTTAGTAGAAAGTTTCAAAAAAGTGGGAAACATGGGCTATAACGCTACTTCATAAGGGCATCATCATCTTGGCTCTTTAGTCAGTGATGACAATCATTTAATCAGTTGCTAATGTTATTGGAACATCATCACAATAATATTCGTATGATTTTTGTATTTGAGAAAACTAAGAAGTCAGATTTTCTGGACATCTAAAAGTAGTGACATAGAGTTAGAGAGATTAACGATCCATTTAGTAATTCTGTACAGAGGTAGAGGTTAGTTAATGTACACAGATCCGAGTGAAGTAGGCAAGAAAAAAATGCACCACACAAATAGAGCGGCAGTATTTGGAAGAAATACAGGAGAGAATGGCAGTAAAATCAATAAGGAAATGAACAGAAAAAGTTCTGACTATGAGTCACATTTTGGTTAAAAATACACCTCACTTTAATGAGGTGTAGAAAGCTATAGTACGACCGTCATTTGTTCCTACTATTAATCATTTCTGATTACGCCACAAGCCACTAAGTCACACAATCTCTAGGACACCAACTGCATATGCGTGATAGCCGTCCTATGCAAATATCTCCCATACTATGACCCTATCGTAAAGTAATCACTTTTACACTTGTAATACATAGTCCTAGCATCTGGAAATGATCCACGATTCGGATTCCGCTTAGATGGCATTCATAAAACATGAACAAGCCACCGAAAATAGTGTTTTAAGATGATGAGACCAATTGAATTTTGACTGCACCTGTACAAACATTTTTAACCTCACTATCACTAACATGGGGTTGTCATGTCATGTCCTTCCAAGATAACCATGGTTTAAAATAGTCCTCAAACCTCTACAGCTTGAAGGGAACAGGTATCACAAACAGCGAGAAATTGCCCTCACCGACGAAAAAGTCCAATTTTCTACAGCTAGACAATCGTGACGGCGCCAAACATAGCAAGATTAGCTTAAGCTGCTCTTTCTTTCATTATGAGTAGATTGGTCTCAGTTGCCATCCCGAAACTAGCACCCATATAGCTACTCAAATACACATAAAATCTTCCACTATGTTTAACGGTTCGCCATAAGTGAGCACATGCACAGGCCCCTACCATTCTTGCGGAGTTAACAAACAGAAATATAATAATAATATGCAATAAGTGACGTATGTTCATCCTCAAGAGTTGATAGCTTACGCAAACGTCATTTTAATAGCAAAATCCTGTTTGACTATTCAGTCCTTCAGAACTAATAAATAAAATTCCCATTTCACGTTAAAAATAAAAGGGATGAAGAAAAATAACTTATTATCCAAAAAAAGCCCATTAAATTATTGGCCTAGAGTTATCAAATTATGCATCTACAATAGGAAGGCTTTAACATAACTACTAGATTAACACTTGGTAGTTATACGTAGAAATACACACTTTGCGGAGAATATATTTTCCCATATCTGACAATAAATTTCATTCGCTATTGAAATTGGTCATTTTTATTTCACGACAAAAATAGTAAACATGGAAAAAGTAATGCTCTTAAAAGTAATGATATTAAGAACGATCATTTAAAAAGATTGCAAACACAATTAACTTGAAGATAAACAACAGTTATGATTTCATGAAATATACATGTATATATTTATCACCTGCAGAATCATAACCAACTGCTTTGGCTAACGAGACAGCTTGTTCACCCATTGCTTTACGCGAAGCTGGGTCCAAAAATGTGCTAGGTGCTTCCTCAATGACTTTCTGATTGCGTCTTTGAATAGAGCATTCCCGTTCATTAAGATAAATTGCATTTCCATGTCTGTCACACAGTACCTGTATAATAAATAATAAACATTCAAATTTAGTCTATGGATATTAATTTGAATCGGAAAAACAGGAAGCTCTATAATATTACTAGCATTCATAAAATAGTGACATGTTTTCTTACGTTTACAAAAGTCCTATGAAATATTGTAATACTTGGTATTACGTGACATACAGATAGAATGAGGATGTCTGATGTTTTCTGTCTGCAAACTTACATTAGCTGGTAAACTACTGATAACTACACGACACGGCAAAACTTCCCCGTCCATGGGGTTGTGATTATTTCTCTGGAATGAGTTTATGGCTATCACATCCCACTAGGAACACCTTGTATCAACTATGTAGTGATGAGAGATCAAATTGACAGATGAAACATAGCTCACTTATTTACAGATATTTATTTAATTGATGTCAGTTCATAGCGAAAGCTTCAAATCAATAAGTCTGACAAACATCAAATTAAGATAAATTTTAAACAGGATTCAAAATGCACAATGAATTACAAGATGGTGATGGAAAAAAAACTTCAACAATGAAAGTTCACTGGAGTAATAAAGAGTCCTTTAGCAAATGTCTTTCCGACAACCCAAAGGAAATCTTAGTCCTGTAAAGCAAATATATTATCATAGATAACAAATTAACGAAACTAAGTATTTAATTTTTCAGGGTGGTTTAAAATCAAAGTTTTAAATGTCAAAATATAATCATAAAGACATTAACTCTCTAGATGATGATAATTTTATGCGTATTATTAGAGAAAGCAAGGTATCTCCAAAGCATTGCTCGCGCAAACAAACCACTGAGCAAGGTGTTGAGATTATAGGCAAAGTTTCCGGAAAAGATAATAAGCTAGTGAAATAAAAAAGCCCCCATCGACTGAACTATGTGTATTATGCAGGGCATATCAAATATATTACAAGGCAGGACCTTGAATTGAGTTAGGAAAACAAAACGAAGTGTTAGTCTATACTGTTGTTCTGTATTTTGTAGTGGTATAAAAGTTTTCAGGGTAAGGTCCTCAAGATGATAAAGATCAGCTGTTGGAAGCACAAGAAGACAGCTTAACATTGGTCATAAGCCCTTTGGCCATTCAATTATCACACATATATTGAAAATCTTACTACCCATTATTCTACGCACTAATTTTTTTATTTCTGCTAAGCGTAGTAACTCTAATTGGTCTATAATTTGCGAAGAAATATGTTGATTTCTATTTGTTTTTCTTCAGAACAGTAAGTAGCCGAATAAAGAATATTACTCTTGCTACTACTCATAGTGAAGACAGGTTCGTAAGAAAGGTGACGTGAAATAAGAAGAGTAACTCCAACTCATAGGAAGCTGGAGATGAACCGTTCAACGGTTACCACTTGCTTCATACAAATGCTGACAACCAGGCTATGAGAGTTACTACGGTCATAGATGTACATGGCAAGTTCGATATTACACAATAACGATGAACAAGTTTACATCTCTAAGATCTATCTAATTCCCTCCTTAGGAACAGGGAGATTATAAATTATTTTAGGTGAAATAAAACGGATAGACTTTGGTGGCTGCTAAATTACAGACCAGATAAACAAATGTAAATAATAACGGTGTGGGATGAAACGTTGGCGATAACGATTAACATTAAATCTCCTTCCATAGAACGATAACTCAAAGGAAAAAGAGGGGGTGTAAAACAGAAGAAATGAAATTTATACTATTTTTGCACAGTTCATCAATTGAGATATATTCTTGAGGGAATTATGTCTTACATGAAGCGTACTCTAACTAATTAAATAAATAATTTTTATTATGACGTCTGAGGCTCGTACAGGTGATGCCATGGACATAGTCAGAGTTTATCTAACTAACACGCAAAAATTAATTACAAATGAAAAGCATAAAGAGATTACTTAAAAAATCCACAATAACAGATATGCTTAAAAAGCCATACACGATAAGATTAATTAATTGTTTATACTTATCATTTTCATTCTCAGTGCGGTACGGTGTCCCAGTCGTGTTAAGGTTGGTGAAGTCTTATCCGCTGAAGCCGATTGACTTTTCTGGAAATTATATTCGTCTTACAAGCCTCAAAAATCCACCGAGTGGATGTGATTGCATGGATAATTCGTTACCCTTAGGTCTTGGCGAGCGAGCATCGCATCACGTGCAAGTATAATTTACATGCATACCGATGACATAAGTTTTCACCCACTCATCCCTTAGCATACACGTTGGTATACTTACCCTGTGAGAAAATATATGTTACATGTACACTGGTAACACAAGAGTTTTCACTCATGCATCCCATAGGATACACACAGGTATATTCACTTACTTAGGAAGGTAGATGGTAACCGCTTCCTTCGAACGTATTTACTACAGCTGAATGTCACTTACGCATTACATGTATATCACTGTTACAAAGACTTTCACCCTTGGACTTCATGACATACACATAAGCATAAGCACTCTTTCAGGAGGGATTGGTAGTCACCTCTCCCTATCATTTGCAACTATATTCTATTGTTATGTTTTGGACCTGAAGGATCAGACCGCTGACCTTATTAGACATATGGCAGACATTTTTTCAGCCTACTTTTCTTGCCCAAACCCACCTGCGTACCTTTTGCATATACCTACATACATAAACCACAAAAGTCGAGACTCACGCAACTCACATACATAAACATACACATAGGGCAGTCCGCAAGATTTTAAAGAGCTCCGAAAATGGAATTCAGTTAATCCGGTTTACAGCATAGTAGTAGACTAGTCCGATACCGCCGACTGCCCAAATTAGCTAGCAAGGTTGCTCACTCTACTCAGGAGCGCCACACTGAGGCTTTGTTGTCTTCATCCTCAGCGACAATTCCAACATTTGTACATTTAAAAACAAACAATAATACTGTAACGCAGTAAGAACTACCTGTATTTCAATATGTCTTGGATTGTCTATAAATTTTTCAATTAACATGCGATCATCTCCAAAACTGGCTTTTGCTTCTGATTTAGAAAGTCGATAACCTTCGCGAGCCTCTTTTTCATTCCATGCTATACGCATACCTTTACCTCCACCACCTGCAGATGCTTTAATCATAACAGGATAACCTATAAAGGTAAAGAGAATCAAAGTACAAATACAAAAACTATCGCATATTAACATTATACCATGAGTTGTAATCAGTTCACGTTATAACCGAAGTACAAAATCCTGTAGATATTATTCTTTTATTTAACTGGGTAAAAAATTTTATATTATATTTAATTTGTAAAGAAATATTTCAAAATTAATGTTAAGAAATCGTAATAGATAACAGTTAAAATGGATACAACTTTTTGATATATTTTTATGTCCAGAAAATTATACAAAATAGTTTTACCGATTTCAGCAGCAATCCTAGCAGCTTCATCTGGACCATCCACTTCTCCATCATAACCTGGGATACAATTAACTTTAGCTTGATTAGCAATTCGTTTGCTCTCAATTTTATCTCCCATAGCTTTTATAGCTCTAGAATTAGGACCAAGAAAGACAACATTCATTTTCTCTAACTCCGCGGCAAAAAGAGTGTTTTCTGACAAAAAGCCATAACCAGGGTGTACTGCTTGGGCACCCGTCGACTTTACAGCGTTTAAAATAGCAGGCATATTTAGATAAGATTGGGCACTTGGAGGTGGACCAACACATACTGCTTCGTCCGCCATGGACACAAAACGAGATATATAATCCACTTCGCTGTGAATAGCGACAGTGCGAATCCCTAGTCGTTTACATGACTGGATTATACGGCAGGCGATTTCACCTCGATTTGCTATGAGTACTTTGTCGAACTTCTAAGAAAAATAAACAAGAACTAGGTAAACAATTCTATTTTTAACACCCAGTAACAGAAAAACACTGGTAAATTAATAATCATATCGACTAACAAGCACTTTACGAACTTTCGTCGCTTTTTCTTCCTATCACTCTTTATGATCACTACGCGAATGTTTATTCGACATCTATTGCAGATGCTTTTGCTCCTTAGCGTTCAGATTTTTATGATAACCTGACAACATTGCTTTAATCTATTAGTTAAGATAGGATCAATTGGAAATTCACCAATTTTTGGTCGAATATTGTCCTATGATCATATTCCAACCTAACTGGTGAAAACACTTGTTGTAAACTCAAAAACATAATTATGAAGAAGGATCCGCATTATGGTTATAAGAGATTTTACTCATTAGAAACAGTTTAAAACGATAATTAGTTTCCGGATCTTTGGACTTATTTTGAAAGAGATAACTAGACTTTGGAGAAATTGGCCCATTTATAAGAAAACATACAGTATCTGAAGTCATATGATTGACGCAACGCAACAACGGTCCGTAACTGAGATAAACAAATCGGTTTTACTTGTGGTTAAATGGATTGAATGCCTGACACGCTTTTATATATCTATAGCGTATTGTCCTCATGAGTGGTGTGAAACTAGGAATGAAAAAATAAATCGGCAACCAAATGCAGGTTTTTAGGCTCATCCTTATGTGCACTTTCTGTGTGATCGCTAGTGGTAATACTCAGTTGCCATAATCAAGCATGTAGAGTAAGGGTATATACTACAAACTATTGAGTGAGTTGAATGCGTTAACTACTAATTTACCTATGTGAAATCAAGCTCAACTTAAAATATCAACTGAAGGTTAATTTAAATTACTCCGAATGACCATGTAACCACTAGCGAGGAATTCTGAACTGAAATACTGAAGTGTAACTGTATTTCATCATAAACAGTAAGTGATAAAATATTATAATCTGCTGAGTTTCTAGTAGTATCCAGTTCACTCGAAAAGCTTGAGATTTCACTTACATTACTGACCCGTGCTCATCTGAGTAAAACATGACACTCGATAATAGTAAACACCATGTTGTTCCCCATCAAAATAAGATGTGAGAACTGATTAGTGAGAGAAAAAAATGCCTATCAACAAATAATGGGAAGTAATATTCAGCAATAGACATCCCTAAAGTGAAGACTAACATAATTTAAGACTGTTGATTGTGTGTATGATGACTAGTTATAATTAGGCATAAATTTTCAAATTAGTCCTTACGGTTAACCCAGAAGAGAGTTTGGTGTTCAGGTGATAAACCAAAGATCGCTTCACTAAGGATAACTAGGAGTCATGTCCTGTGTTATAAAAGTTTCATCAGGACTAAAAATGGGGTTGATTTCGCCAGAAAATTTAATTAACATCAGAATAAGTTTAAGTAGAAAAAGTGGTAGTTTGCCCAGTATGTATTTGTACTAAATTATCAAAATCCTAAATAATGAAATAGATAAAATGGCCTTGTTGCCGATGAGACATTCACAATAAATCAGTGATTACTAAACAATTATCATTTTAACCCTGGACCACAAATCTCTATCGTCAGACAATCAGGACTGTTCCATACTTTAACAAGTTAGAGGAGTTTTTACATCAAAATTAAGCAACGGCTTACGATAGAGTTTCTAAAGTTCCGACCTTCATTTAAAGAGTTGCTTGCTAATTACAATGCTATGTTGTAATGTACTGTCTCCAAACTTTCAAAAGGTAACCCGGAATATAGAAACTTAAGTGAAACGTAAATGAAGACTATGGATTTGAATGTACGTCTTCGGCTCATGAAACAGACATAAAAAACGTAGGTTCTGACGCAAACATTCATCACGCCAAACCGCCTCAGTACACTATGCACAGTAAAGGCGTTAATGGGATATAAATTGCAGTGAAGCATGTTCCACTAGTGGATACTTGGAAAAAACTCTAGAATCTCGTGTAAAAATTATAAATATACTAACGTTTTTCTTATTGCGATTCCTACTTCCATCTACTCTTGTTATTTAGAACATAATTTCGTTCCTGTCCAACCATGTGCTATAGGAATTGTTGAGTGAAGTAGTGTCCAAGAACACTAAGAAACAGTAGCTGTGTCGTAATAAGAGAAATTATAACAAAAGGAGTCGAAGCAATAATACTATGTATTAGTATAAAAAAATAAGCATAGAAGATATGGTTTGAAAAGAATTAGATTCGCAGAAAAACGAAACAACATTGAAACCCTAAATCAAGGGGGAAAAGTTTATGCACCTAGGACAACCATGTAGTCTGCACCTCCCCATAAGGATGAATTAGAGGCAATAGATTTATAGACCGATGCTATGTCTCTCTCTGGTCACTTTTAGTCTTCTTTCAACTAAATTTATGCTATCCAGCATTGAATGTCGAGGTGCAAAGTGGTTGAATATCTGTAACACAGGTTTTAGTTGCATATGGCGATAAAAAGATCACTATAAGTTAAAGAATGTCTAAAATGCTATCAGGCTAGACCAGAACTTAATTATCGTACTTCTGTTCGAGTCTCAGTATTATGATGGAAAATATACCGATAAAGCTAATTTTTATATAACAGCCAAGCACATAAGTGCTTTATCGCTTAGTAAGCATTCAACTACGAAGCTTTATCATCCTTTCTGAAGCAAAATGTTTCAAATATCCTGCACACAAATGCGATTATATCAAGGATGAAACTTATTCAAGTTTAATGTACTGTAAATTTTATCGAGACGAATAAATATTATGAAGTGACGGGACACTAAATTTACCTAGTGAGGCTTATGCTTGTTAAATAGATGAAAAACATAGAGGGATATAGGACCAAATATAGAGTATTCTGAGTGATTAAAAACCTTATTCACTATGTTTTAGATACTTGTTTACAAACTTTAATTCCGTATAATGCAATTCGATAATCACATTTTAAGGTGGAAACATATGAAAACAAAAAAACATGAGTAAATGATGCTCGATGGTTTTGATGCTACTGAGATAGTTAAATTGCTAGTCACTCAAACGTTTTTGAAACTTTAATAACTTCAGTATTGGTGCACATACTTTATTATGAGTGTCGGTAACAATACGTATACATAGCTGAGTTTCCTAATCTATATATTGAGTGTCAATTGCATATGTTCGCGGAAAATATGTACTTTCTTATTCTACATTCACCGTTCAGAAATTCTCATACGTTTAAACTGGTTCCTCCACAAACACTTCAATATAAATAAAATTGGACGACCAAGTGACACTATCTTACATTACCCAAGGCCTCGGCACAGGCATTTCTAATTGAAGAGTTCGAGTTTTTATACGTTATTAAAGAAATATTTCGGATTCCTTTCAACTATCACACAACTGAGATTCTTGCCATGACATTGAAAGTTCATTAGCGAAAACACATTACGTCAAAAATTAAGTAGCTCTGAGATTCTTCGACATTAATGTTGAACCAATTAGTTTTACGGGACACATTCTAGCTCTCGGTCACGCATCCGCACGAGATTATTGGGTACACTGTGTTGCGCATCCTTCGCAATAACTAGCCAGCTTGGGCCACATAAATCTTGACACAACGACTACCTGCCAAACATCAGATTCATTGGAATTTATTCTTACTTTTTCCTTCAAATTCATTCAATCTTGACTTCTCGTTTGACTGGGTCTGGGATCCTTCGTTTGTAAGTGTTGTAGATAAAAGCGCTGCCAAGACCTCAATATCCGTGACATCTTTAATCACTTAGTTCGGTTATGAGGTGATGAACTACACTTCAATTGTCAGCATGGCTTAAAACTAAATTCTGCAACAATTTTACATTCTCCCACACTTCATAAAGTGCCACAAAACGACACAAACATGTGTTAAATCTCAATCCCCCTAATTTGATGTTTACCCCCAAATCGTAGGAAGTTAGGTTGTTTTCCTCAAAGTTTGGGAAGATTTTGGGGATAAACTCCAGTGTTATAAGATTCTGGGGAAATATTGGGGGACACCTCATCCTCAGACATTTTGAGGAATTTTCTCAGACCTGGGGGAATTTTTGGGTCTTGTGCCATTTCCGCGAAGTTTTCTACTGTGGATTCTCCGAAACGGACAAGATTTTTCCCCAAAATAGGGAGATTGGGATATTATGTTAAAACAAACCGAAATAGAAAACTACTTCCAGCAGTACCATTAATCCTACAGTAAACACTCTGGTAATCTAAATAAAAAGTGATTGACTTTGTTAATTTACCTCCTCATTATTATCGTACCGATCGTTCCAGTAGAATCCCCTATGAAAACATAAGGATGTGGACAATTTTCTAAAGACTGTTCTGGAGCAACTGAAACCAATCTGAAAAAACTGCTTATAAACACCAAATCTTGCTCGAGTCTGACAACTCTGTAGGACCAAGTACATTACCAGCGAAAACAGGAGTACAAACGATAGGATTTTAAAATCACTTTCAAGGACCAGCTTCACTCTACCCGGAAAAACAAAGATCCAGATTTCAGATTTATTTAGTAAGGGCAGAAGGCTTATGGCCCATGTTATTTCTTTACTAGAGTGCTTCTGTGAGCGTCCAGTGTTCTCTCGAATGAGTCGACTGAAGGTGCGGACACCACTGCATCATGTTCCAATAATTAATGATTCGGTGTGAGAACCTTTATGCCACGGGTATTTTGTTCGTTCTTGGCTTTCCTGCTCGCTTGCTATGTACCCAGGAACGTCTCGACCTGGTGAAAAGAAAAAGGGGGATATATTATGTCCAAAATCATTTCTTACTATTCTATACATCAAAATCAGATCACCTCATAATCTGCGATAGGACAGAGTAAAGAGGTCTAGCTTTTCAATCCGCTCTTGGTATGGTAAACCCATGAGTTCTGGAATCGCACGGGTAGATGCCATTTTTAGTTCATCAATGATATTCGAGTCACCTTTTAAACAGGGGCTTGGAGCCTGAACACAGATCTCAAGCTTAGTTCTCACCAAGGTTGTGTATGCGGCGATGAAAAAAACTCGTTCAATAAGAATAATATTGTATCGAGATAGTACATATATATGTTTTGTAGGTATTTTTTCGACTTGTGTATCCATGATTATTGTATTATCACTCTGATTTTGTACGTAATTTCTTGTATGCACGCCCCTACTTCACTACTTATAGCATTCTTAGATTCATACATTGCTACGCCAACAAAATTCTAAAGTTCCTTATTCGTCTTTTTCTAGTCAGATTTTTTATCCTTCCATTTCTTCAACATTCGGATTGATGTGTTAGACACAAGTCCGTTTGAATCGGGTCCCGAAATGCCCTGGTATAGCCGAGAGTAGGCAGAGTCAGCTCTCCCACTCGAAATGCTCTCACATGGCCATGTGCATAAAACCACTTCCAGGGAAGGCCTACTCACTGCCTTCTTCGCGGCGAGGGTGTTGTTTACGAAAGTGGGAGGACGAAATGTGAATGTCGGGCACTCTACCCGGGTTGGTGGGCTCGGAGAATCCACCTAAGCGAGTTGGAAAACCCTGATTCTAAACCAATGGTGTACATAGGCTCCAGGACCCTAAGGAAGTAAATGACGTACGTACCTATTGTTGGTTACCGGCTATCATGGAACTGCATCTCCTGAAGTTGCTCTACTGCCTTGTGAATTAGATTTTTAGGTCAAAGGCTCGGGGTGTGGCCCCGTATTAAAACCATCCGCCTCGGTTTGGGCCTCCGGGCAGTATCCCAGCCTTCACACAAATCTAATGGTTTATGTGGCGCCTATCTGTTTGGTGCATCCTCGTATCAATGTTTATGTGTTTAAACAAACAAATAAATAAATAATTGGGTCTCAAGAATTGAATGTTCATCCTGGAAAACCCTACTTATTAAAAAGTGGCTTTCGACTTTTAAACTCGTCTGTTATTCCTTGGGTGTGACGATCTAGTTATAAAAATGATCAATCGGTCTCGAAACAACTTCCCAGTACTTTATGCATCATATTTAAATCTGTGATCGGATTACGTTAAGGGATCTTGCAACACCTGAAATCGGATAGTTAAGAGTTAGCCGAAAACATATTTGTGATGCAAAAACATTATAGCTCAAATGTTTACATACTTCGTTATTGTATGGGCATTATATTTCCTATAATCCTATATTGAGTGTTAAAATTTTCGTGTGCTTGAAACTGGAACCTCACCACAAACACCTGACTTTTTCAACGTATAAAGACGAGGGGTATCTACCAGCATTAGATTGGTAAACCCAGTTTTGATCACAAAAACATTTCTATTCTACCTATTTTTTGGTTTTGTCGTAAAAGCAAATTTTCTGACGAATCAGTAAGATTATCGTTAACGTAAGTTTCATTTATATATATATATATCACAGTGTTCGTGTTGAGATCAATTTTTACCTCGGTTATATCATATTAATTTATGTGTTAAATACCGCATTTTAAACTCAGTCGCCGACGGGGATAAATACTGTTGTGACTGTGAAAGCCTGATTCCCGGAATTTGACAGACGTGACCCAGAGTTACTGTGTGATCAACTACAGCATTATTTCATGGGGTACACTATTAAATCTGAAGGGATTCGCTACCGAGACGTACGTTCCTTCCTCCCTCCTTTAAATCCCCACGAATTTTGCTGCTTAGTTCTGAGTCTTCCGACGTCACAACCATACACCGTTTTAAGGCTTGAAATAGTGAACTGTATACAATCATCAGACGGCTAAGTAATTCGAAGGCTTTTCTATACGAAAGCATTAGTTTTACAAACTGACTGAATGTGTTCAGTCTTACCACATTTAAAGCATTTAAAATTAAAAAATACACACGAATTGCATGAATGGATCTTGCCATAGAACAAGCAGTTATCAAACTTATGCTCGTCTTCGTGACCTGATTCGCAACTTCTCAGTCATTTGTTATCTGAATTACGTTGATTGGGTATTGGACTGGAACAAAGCAGTAAAATAGTGGAATTCATAATGTTCCGACAAATCATTTTATGAAAATTTTCCCCCGAAGATGTTACAGGTATTCGGAGTTTGACAACGCCTTGATCAGTAACACCTATTATGAAGCGTACCCATTAGGTGAAATCAAAAGATATATTTGATAGGCTACCAATATATCGAGGATCGTCTGATCTAATCTGGCTAGCGATTGCAGGGGTTGTTGAGCACGGCGTTCTCACTCGTGATCTGGTGCGGATGCATGGCCAAGCGCCTTCAGCTAGGTGAGTCCATCAAAACTGATGTGGTGAGCATCCAATGTCAAAAACTTACAGAGCTATTTATTTTGGGGATTTGTTTACCGCTATACCCCTTTACCGCAGTCCGAACTTGTATAATTTACATAGTCTAGCAGTAGTTCCTTGGAGATGCGTAGGGGAGTGAAATCGGCTTGTTTGGAAATGTCAAAGTCTTTATTAAGCTATATGCTTCTTTCTCGATGAATGTAAAGGAATGAGCTACAATTTTAGCATCGTCAACGTCTTCTATAACGGCCGAACAGCCAATATTCGGTTGGAACAACGGACTGACGAACCCAAAATTTATTCGATTAGACCAGACCAAGTTCCTCTGTATAGCTGACAACGCGTTTTTGAGATACTCGTATTATATTATACCAAAACACAAATTCTGTGCTCAATATAAACGGTTCTGTTAGCGGGACATAGACTAGATTAAAGCATGCTCAATGCATGATTGTTTTAGTGCACGCTGATTGGCTGATTCTTATCCAATCAGCACTAGTCGATAGTCGGAGAATACTCTGGAATCTTCTTATGTAAAAACTATAAATATACCGACGTTTTCCCCTATTGTGCTTCTGACTTGCTATTTGGAATATAATCTTTTTCCTGTTCAACCGTGTTTTGATTTGGGGACTTGTCGAGTGAATCGGTGTCCGAGAATACTAAGCAATAGGAATAGCTGGGTCATTAATAGTGAGTAAGAAGAAAGAACAGAGCTATAACAGGTTCTAATTAAGAAAACAGAACAAACTACATCAAAAATACAAAATACCTCTAACGGTACAGCCTGTGATATACAGTCAGAAGTTTCTCTAACGCAAAGTAGCGCGCTAAACAATCAAAGAGACAGTTAATACTAAAGGGTCTGATACCTGAGAATCAATACAAATATTCCCAATAAGATGGGATCAAATATCTATATGCAGGGATTGCAGCGATTCTCCCAAGCAGACAGTCAGAAGGTTAACAGTCACAAACTGAACCACGCCGTGACCTTGAGCTTAGTCAAACACAACCTTACTGTCAATGGTCCGGCAACATGCAATAGAAAATTAGGTAAAAAACATAAGTCTTTATTCAAAATCACATAATAAAGGCTCAAACGGGGAAGACTGAAGAACAAAAGACATGGTTAAACGAGATCGAAACAAAGGTTGGAATACACAAAAGGGAGAAGGAACAAATAAATGAAAATACTGTTCAACAAAGAAGCTGCAGAGGGATTTTCACTGTTCTCTTTCCGTTACATCTTCTTTGGTCATAGCCCATATTTCTAACCTTTTCATGTAATCCTCAAAAGCATCAGAGTCTGCATGTATGTCCAACTGTTCCATCACAGGCTGCATCGCGGCGCCAGTGTAATAGTTAGTAGTACTTGAATTTTAATGCGAACGAGGAGTCCCAGAAATAGAACAGGTTAGTCATGTGTTATATTTGGAATTCGAAATCAAGCAGTCATCAATTACAAAGGAATTATTAGGTCATATACACACCACAATTTCACGGATGGTTGTGTGGAGATTTGATGTGAGTGATTGACCTAGCATCTTCAGCTTTTGGTACCTATTAAAGCTAATGAGGTCAGCATCCACATAGATTGTTTTACAACTTTATTTTGGGAAGTTATTGATCGCTACAAAACTAAAGCTTCCCAGATCTTATTCATATGGAATATCAGTGGGCGTCACCGCATGTATGAATCATATGAAATAAACACACATAAATTAGACAGGCGTGGTGGTAAACAAATCGCAAAAGCAAACATTTATGTAAGTCTTCTACATTGGTGAGAACCTCACTGACCTCATTAACCTCATTATCGTCATCATCTTTACAAGAAAAAGTTGATCGTGGTTGCGGTGAAAATCTGCTAGTCTGTGGTAAGAATGTAAAATGTCCCCTGAAACTGGCCACTCAACTTGGGGGAAAAATACATGAATATAAAAATGAAATAAAAGGAAGATACTTACGCAGACAAGAACTGAAAAAAAGATAATAACCTGTCCATCACTAAGACTCTCGCAGCTTGGTGGATTGGTAATGTTTGCTTAGAGCAGTCAAAACTCTGGGACTTGCTGTTAACATTGGGAATCAGTCATTCAGAAATCAGCTGGCTGATACCACGTTGCAAACATTTAAAAAATTGGGCGTTAAATTGCTGCGGTTGATTTAGACGTGACGGTGCACGGGCTGTGTAGATTCGTGTTGTCAGTTCAAATCCTTATGACATTACTTCTAGTCGTTATTACCCGATTGTCTTAGTCTCACCATTTACTCTGTTGCTAGTTACTGTAGATCTACTTCATTTGATGTAGGTGCATCTTATGTCTTTATTTAGTCGTCGTCTCATTATCTTGTTCTCATCCAGTTTCCCGTGCACACGCAGCTCTATACTCTCCCGTGGAAGTATGTTATAATAGCTAAACTTTTAAATACTGTCGGTTGTGCTTTAGATCCTGATAATTCTGTCCTGGGAAGTTGTTCGCGATTGCTTTGTAACTAGCGCAAACGCTCGAATAAACTGTATACAGTCGTAATGACCTGCGTGGTTAGTTCTGAATGATCATCTGTTTGCTTATCTTGTGCTTTCATTTGTTACCGCTCTCAATTTTCAGGCCAAGTTTTACGACGATGTGATTGAGGATGTTATAAGTGGTGTTAAAGATGAGTTTGTAGAGGATGGTGGTGATATCCAGATACTTGAAGAACTCAAAAAGGTTTTACATGTTTCACGGCTCACTATTATTTAGTTATGGAAGTCCAAACTTGCTGAGACCCACGTCTTTAGCCCAGAGCCTGTCGGCGGAAGTGCTGCACAATATTTGAACCTTCTGCAACGTTCTCAAGTTCAGGTAATAAAAATGTTTAAGTTGCGTAAAATATGGTAACTTTGACAGCTGTATTGGGCGACCATGGTACTATATGTATTCATATATATATATATATATGGCTATTATATTGGGTTCCAAGTTTTTAAATGCTTATTCTTGATGTGGCTTTGTCATAAAAATACTTGTCTGTAACTAATTATGCACCCCATTTACATCATGTAACGTCGCGAGTTTTGTCATAATACTGAGAATGGAATAGTTGTGCAAGATCGATTTGTGGTCCTTCAAGGTGCACCAATTTTTAACTTCGACCTTGACATTCTCAACTAAACCATTATTCGTTGTCTAGATTTTATTTTGATTTCTCGTCATATTCCTCACAGTTTCAATTCATCTGTTAAACGTATAAGATGCTCATAATTCTTTTTGCAGTTAACTTAGTCTGCACAAGAGTATTGATTCCTCAGTTCAAAGCCAATATTACATGTTTTGGTACGTATGCATGGTTTGCATAGCCAGTGTAACAATTCAGTGACTCAATTCCCTGTATAATTGTGTATGTTCCACTTTAAATCACACTCTGTGGCAGTCGGGGACACTATCCTATTACTCAAGTTAGAGTAGGTGGAGAGGAATTCGAATCAGTGACCTATTTGTTAAAATCCGAGTCTTTTGATTGGGATATTGACATCATTGTTATAAATTGGCAATGAATTTACCATTCTACGGTCTTTTGAAATATCTGATAAACTTGAAGGGTGCATTAAATCTGTCTCGGGATTCACTATCGTTATACATGTTTTGATTTTCATGCTGCACATATCAACAAACTATCACTATTTTTCATCAATTAAAACTTCAGATCCATCCAAATGTCGTCAGTTCTGGAAATCCCTCCGTAGGTTTACCAATAAGGCAGTTGAATACAATCATCCGAACTGGGTCAGATCAGACAACAGCAAGCATGGCGCTTCCTGGTACGCTTTCAGGTTTGCGACTACCTGCAGCACGGGCTTCTGTCTCAGTCCCCACTCAAATGCGATCTCGTGAGCCAGTACAAGCTACTCCGTGTTTGGCCTCAGTTATACTTCCAACTCAGTCGCAAACACAAAAGCAACCTCAAACAACCAGCGTTCTTCCCGCTGTGCTTACTTCCAATCCAAGTGGAGCTCAATCAAGACCTACTGCAACTACTAACGTTCAACAAGTTACAACACCCCAGCTCGCCACACTGCCTTCAGGTCTTACAGGTTAGTAGATTTGTGTACTCATCTTAAGTTTTCTAAAGTTATATATTTAATATTTTACATATGATAATCAAAATAAATTCGATTGATATTCTTCATGTATCATTTACAGGACATCTTGTACAAATCGGCCAACAGACTTATCTCGTCCCTCAGCCGTTAACAGCAGTCCGTCAACCTGGTGTTCATCTGGCTGTTCCTCAGTATATAGGTAACCCAAGTGTGGCAACCAACAATTCCATGGCTTCTGATTCCAAACCTTTTACTGTTTCAGACATTGGGCAGTTTAAACAAGTGAGTTTTTCAATATTTTTCAGTTGAGTCCAAAGAATATTAGTTATAGTTTACTAAGCCACCTTTTTTGTTTAGCTGATACATTTTAATACGTTACCTTTATTATTGTTATTATTATTACTATTATTATTATTTGAACACATAAATATTGGTACGAGAGTGCGCCAAATATATATGCGCCACACAAAACATTGGGAATTTAAAGAGAAGGAAAAAGAAAAATGGTAAGGAGCGTGGAAAAAGAGAACAATAACGAAGAGATTGGTGTAAGGTAGTGTAATAATAATAATGGTAATAATGAGGGAACGGAAAGGTACAATCAGAAGAAATCTTTCAGTTAAGGAAGATATAACCACTTTTCACGAAGAGAGTAAAAGAAGGTTACAGCAGGATCGCCACTGGCTTCCATTCTGAGCCATATCTGATAACGTCTCTAGCCACTGTGTAGCACCATCTCTCGGACCCCATCCATGGAGTCGTGAAGGTCCAACAGAAGCCAGCCCTTTGCAGCTTTCTTTCATACCACGACACTATGTCATACACTGACCACCTCTGCTTTTTCCAACCAGTCCCAGCGTCGTCAAATAATGCACGTGGAATTCTCTGAGACGACATTCGTAGAACATGTCCAGGCCACCGAAGTCGGTGTTTTAAGATGGTGACACCGATTGCATTATCGTCTCTGTGCCCGAACACACGATGCCGGACCTCTGCATTACTAATATGGTGTTGCCACTGGATGTCAGCAATCCTTCGGAGACAACGATGATCAAACACAGAGAGTCGTCTAACGTCCTCAACTCGGAGAGGTCTATATTTATGGAAACGTTACCTCTAGTTATTACTTAGAATTAGTTCGTTCTATAATTAAGCGAAAAACATCTTGTTATTTTATGGTTTTAGATATTTTTGAAATAGCGGTGGTTTTTATGGAAGTAATGTTCCTAAAACTTTTTGAATGCATCATTTAGCGGTTAGTAAACCCTAGAGACGTGTTTTTGTTTTTACTCGTGTAATGACATTTAACACATAAAGTTATGTTTCTAGTAAATTCCTATCAAATTAAGCATTTCTCTCTTTAAAATATTTTTCAAGGTTTTGTTTCTAGTTGTAACTTTCTTTTGTGTAGACTGTTATTTACTGGGATATGTACAAATAGTAGAGATTTCCACTTGTTTGGGATTAATTTCTTGAGCTCAGTGGAGTTGAAACCAACTTCTAGGGACTCATTTTGACCACCGATAAAGAGTAAATATAATGTGCCATTTCCTTTTATTGTTTCATGCTTTACTCCTTTATTTGCATAAACCGTATTTTCCTAAGCAAATTTATCTGGTGTTCATTGATAACAATTCGTAAAACGTGATATCGCAGCGAGATGAAATCCCATGTGTATAGAAATAATTTGTATACTATACTTGTTTGGTACCGTTTGGGCAGTGAATAAAGCTTCGATAATGTATTGTTTAATGCATAACACAGGGTTTCTATATTTTGCAATACGACCCATTGCAGCCTTATTTCATCAGTGCTACAGATTACTCAACTCACTTCTCTTTTAAAGATGGGACATTTGTAGTGAGATATGATAGTTATTAGGATTCATAACTTTGGTTTCGATTATTTACGGTCTGTTATATATATAATTCTTACCCATAAATTACTTTTAACTGTTACAGACACAGGTCGATGGTGTCCATGATAGCGATGATGAAAAGTTCTGTGATACTCCTGTATCACAATCGATGAGTGTACCTGGGCGTCGAAAGAATCAAAATAATGGACAGCATAATTATAATGATAGTGTTGCATCCCATGCCCATCATGGTTCAGATCTAGAAGATGATGATGACGATGATGATGACTTAGTCCCTGCTACTCCTGGTTTCACCCCACACTCGTCTGTTTTATCTCATTACAACACTAGTCGTTATGTGATGGATACTCCAAGAGATATGGGTGGGGGCACACCTCTTGTAAGTGCCCCACCCACTCCTATGACCCCACCTTCCGTATCAGTCCCAGAAAGTCACTTACGCCCTGGACAACAGTCCTTAGCTACTCATTCACTTCACACTGCACAAACACCTGCTTCCAAACGTCGAAGACTTTCACCATACCACGGGAAGAATACAGATACAGATGAGTCTGAGGGTTGTGATGATGGCGAAGATCCAGACATAGTAACTACTACCACTACACCGGCCAACCCAAAGTAAGTCAATTCATGCCTAATTATTGACATGAAATAAACTGTATACCATTACCTGAGTGTGTACTATATAGCAAGATACTAGTAGTCGTATTTCAAGATACCCTAGATTTTTAAAACTTAGTTATCCATAACATTTTAGGCCCGAAATATCCACCCTATTCGATCTAGAAGGTCAGGTAGAGATATTGTATCTTAGCTTTCACACCTGTATGTTAAACAGCCTGTTGCACGGACGTGAAGCCCCTTGAATCAAATAAAACTTGTTTCAGATTTTTATCGTATTTTACCCGTAGTATTTTACGTCTGGTGTATTATTTTCGGAGGTCGAACTGGAGTTTTCTACCATAACCTGCAAGTACGACAGTTTGGTCGAATATATTCCACACTAATTAACCTCAGGTTGGTTTCGAACGCATTTCACCAACTGATGCTTCTAAAACGCAGTGGTAATATCCTAGTTGCTATAGTATAATTATTTATTTGGTTCCGTTGCGTTCACCTTCAGTGAGACATTTATTTGACCGTCCAGTGTTTTAATTGTTTCTTTGTGTTTCAGACATTTTAAGTGATCTGGATTTAAAATGTTCATTTTCGTGACGCTACTCATATTTTGCAGCTTTTACTTTATGTTGTATGGTAGTTGGGGTTTCTCCTGATTATTGGTATGAGTTTCAACGACCCTTTTGTTTAAAATATCACTAAACTCTAGTTATTTTGTATTGATCATTAACAGCGAACTATCCATAGAAAACTACGAAAATACTGTTGATCCTAAGCGAAAATTGGACCAAGTGAAGCAAAAACTTAAACAGCGTCCACAACAAGATAGGAATCCAGTCAGTCCTAAGAACAATCGTATAACAAAACAGTTTTCATCCCCAACTGAATCAGAGCTCGGTGTTCCAGATCAGATGGAATTCCTTGAAGGAGATCCTCTAAAAGCAGAAGAGGAAGGAGAAGAAGATGAGGAAGAAGAACCTCTGAATTCAGAGGATGATGTGAGGATGAAGAACCTGAAGTGCTGTTCGAATCGGATAATGTTGTGTTTGTCAGTATGATAAGGTGAGTTCCGATAGGAATTTAGAACTGATAAGTTTTCTGTTTTTTCACGTAGGTGGTGAATTGGGCCAATAAGAAAATACTCATATCCACTCATTAGCTTCACTAAATGCTAGGAATACTTCTACGGTATATGTGATTAACTACGTGCCACCATATGTTCTCTACTTCTGCAGGCCATTTAACACCCGTAAACTAATACAAATGAACTTTATGCAATGTATGCATCCTGTTGATAGGCGGACAAAAACCTAATTTATGTCGGATATGTAAGTTTGTGAAAGGCCGACGATATTCTTGTACTTCAACTAGCTACAAGTTAGTCGCCCAACATTATTTCATACATACAGTAAACCAGATTGTAGTAGACTTGTCACTATGTCCATTTCCTTGTTGGTAGACTCTACACGTTATATACTACTCAATACATCTGATAGTTAATTCAGTAGGCTGAAAGTGAAAATCACACAACATGATCGCTTAAACCGTTTCGAAACAATCATTGATCAAATGTTGCACACAGGATCTCTTACTTTCTCTTCCCTTCTCTTTCTATACAGTATATAATTCGGTCACTGACAAAACACCATCTAATTCACTTTGATTTGCACTGACACGCTCATTTATTCAGCAGATTGTGAAAAGATTCATGCTCATTGTGACATTCGGATACACGATAGTCTAACACTGAATTCATCTAGATTTATTATCTTGACGAAACACAGAAATTAGACAGTGATTAAAATAGCAATAATCGTGTGGAGATTAGTTAATGTTATACAATATGTTATATAGTGAAATAGTGTGTGGGTAAGGTGTAAGGTGAAGTGGACCAGTGGATATTAAACATATTGATAAATAGTGTTGAATAGATTTTAGTAGATTTGGATGTATAATTAACTGTTGATACAATTGATAATAGTGTAATGCAGTAAATAATGATGAGTTTGGGGTGTTGAATAGAATGAATGAGTCGGTGTAATGTAGTAGATAATTGTGAATGTAAGTGTGTAGTTGATTGTGAATAGTTAGATATATATATTTTGTTATGGATTTAAGGGAGGACTGTGAGACCTCCCCACTGACAAAAACTACACGCCCGAGCGCACCCGATTAGGGTTCGTCGCGAGTTTCAACCCACCGAGGTGCAATGGTGAGCCTCCACCCGGGGTCAGAGCATTCCTGATCACCCTGAACCCGGCGCCAGGTAAGTTTAAGCACTAGTTAATAGCCTATCGCTCGATCATTCTCAACAACATTGCAATAAAATCACTCTCTGCAAATTAACACTGCATTCCCAATTCAAACACTCATTTCAACAACATTTCATGCATTCAACTAGCTACAAGTTAGTCGCCCAACATTATTTCATACATACAGTAAACCAGATTGTAGTAGACTTGTCACTATGTCCATTTCCTTGTTGGTAGACTCTACACGTTATATACTACTCAATACATCTGATAGTTAATTCAGTAGGCTGAAAGTGAAAATCACACAGAGATTCATACATGATCGCTTAAACCGTTTCGAAACAATCATTGATCAAATGTTGCACACAGGATCTCTTACTTTCTCTTCCCTTCTCTTTCTATACAGTATATAATTCGGTCACTGGACAAAACACCATCTAATTCACTTTGATTTGCACTGACACGCTCATTCATTCAGTAAATTATGAAAAGATTCATGCTCATTGTGACATTCGGATACACGATAGTCTAACACTGAATTCATCTAGATTATTATCTTGACGAAACACAGAAATTAGACAGTGATTAAAATAGCAATAATCGTGTGGAGATTAGTTAATGTTATACAATATGTTATATAGTGAAATAGTGTGTGGGTAAGGTGTAAGGTGAAGTGGACCAGTGGATATTAAACATATTGATAAATAGTGTTGAATAGATTTTAGTAGATTTGGATGTATAACTAACTGTTGATACAATTGATAATAGTGTAATGCAGTAAATAATGATGAGTTTGGGGTGTTGAATAGAATGAATGAGTCGGTGTAATGTAGTAGATAATTGTGAATGTAAGTGTGTAGTTGATTGTGAATAGTTAGATATATATATTTTGTTATGGATTTAAGGGAGGACTGTGAGACCTCCCCACTGACAAAAACTACACGCCCGAGCGCACCCGATTAGGGTTCGTCGCGAGTTTCAACCCACCGAGGTGCAATGGTGAGCCTCCACCCGGGGTCAGAGCATTCCTGATCACCCTGAACCCGGCGCCAGGTAAGTTTAAGCACTAGTTAATAGCCTATCGCTCGATCATTCTCAACAACATTGCAATAAAATCACTCTCTGCAAATTAACACTGCATTCCCAATTCAAACACTCATTTCAACAACATTTCATGCATTCAACTAGCTACAAGTTAGTCGCCCAACATTATTTCATACATACAGTAAACCAGATTGTAGTAGACTTGTCACTATGTCCATTTCCTTGTTAGTAGACTCTACACGTTATATACTACTCAATACATCTGATAGTTAATTCAGTAGGCTGAAAGTGAAAATCACACAGAGATTCATACATGATCGCTTAAACCGTTTCGAAACAATCATTGATCAAATGTTGCACACAGGATCTCTTACTTTCTCTTCCCTTCTCTTTCTATACAGTATATAATTCGGTCACTGACAAAACACCATCTAATTCACTTTGATTTGCACTGACACGCTCATTTATTCAGCAAATTATGAAAAGATTCATGCTGATTGTGACATTCGGATACACGATAGTCTAACACTGAATTCATCTAGATTTATTATCTTGACGAAACACAGAAATTAGACAGTGATTAAAATAGCAATAATCGTGTGGAGATTAGTTAATTTTATACAATATGTTATATAGTGAATTAGTGTATGTAAGGTGTAAGGTGAAGTGGACCAGTGGATATTAAACATATTGATAAATAGTGTTGAATAGATTTTAATAGACTTGGATGCATGACTAACTGTTGATGCAATTGATAGTAGTGTAATGTAGTAAATGATGATGAGTTTGAGGGGTTGAATAGAATGAATGAGTCGGTGTAATGTAGTACATAAGATTGATTGGAAGTGTGTAGTTGATTGTGAATAGTTAGATATATATATTTTGTTATGGATTAAAGGGAGGACTGTGAGACCTCCCCACTGACAAAAACTACACGCCCGAGCGCACCCGATTAGGGTTCGTCGCGAGTTTCAACCCACCGAGGTGCAATGGTGAGCCTCCACCCGGGGTCAGAGCATTCCTGATCACCCTGAACCCGGCGCCAGGTAAGTTTAAGCACTAGTTAATAGCCTATCGCTCGATCATTCTCAACAACATTGCAATAAAATCACTCTCTGCAAATTAACACTGCATTCCCAATTCAAACACTCATTTCAACAACATTTCATGCATTCAACTAGCTACAAGTTAGTCGCCCAACATTATTTCATACATACAGTAAACCAGATTGTAGTAGACTTGTCACTATGTCCATTTCCTTGTTGGTAGACTCTACACGTTATATACTACTCAATACATCTGATAGTTAATTCAGTAGGCTGAAAGTGAAAATCACACACATGATCGCTCAAACCGTTTCGAAACAATCATTGATCGAATGTTGCACACAGGATCTCTTACTTTCTCTTCCCTTCTCTTTCTATACAGTATATAATTCGGTCACTGACAAAACACCATCTAATTCACTTTGATTTGCACTGACACGCTCATTTATTCAGCAAATTATGAAAAGATTCATGCTGATTGTGACATTCGGATACACGATAGTCTAACACTGAATTCATCTAGATTTATTATCTTGACGAAACACAGAAATTAGACAGTGATTAAAATAGCAATAATCGTGTGGAGATTAGTTAATGTTATACAATATGTTATATAGTGAAATAGTGTGTGGGTAAGGTGTAAGGTGAAGTGGACCAGTGGATATTAAACATATTGATAAACAGTGTTGAATAGATTTTAATAGACTTGGATGCATGACTAACTGTTGATACAATTGATAATAGTGTAATGCAGTAAATAATGATGAGTTTGGGGTGTTGAATATTGTGAATGTAAGTGTTGTTGAATAACTGAAATGGTTGATTGGACATAGTGTTATATAGTGTATGAATTGTATCAGAGTACTGATCGATAGTATATGAATGGTTGTGATGAATGATATTTGTATGTGATTGATTGGAAGTGTGTAGTTGATTGTGAATAGTTAGATATATATATTTTGTTATGGATTAAAGGGAGGACTGTGAGACCTCCCCACTGACAAAAACTACACGCCCGAGCGCACCCGATTAGGGTTCGTCGCGAGTTTCAACCCACCGAGGTGCAATGGTGAGCCTCCACCCGGGGTCAGAGCATTCCTGATCACCCTGAACCCGGCGCCAGGTAAGTTTAAGCACTAGTTAATAGCCTGTCGCTCGATCATTCTCAACAACATTGCAATGAATTCACTCTCTGCAAATTAACACTGCATTCCCAATCAAAACATTCACTTCGACAACATTTTAAACATTCAACTAGCTACAAGTTAAGCGCACAACATTATTTCATACATACAGTAAACCAGATTGTAGTAGACTTGTCACTATGTCCATTTCCTTGTTGGTAGACTCTACACGTTATATACTACTCAATACATCTGATAGTTAATTCAGTAGGCTGAAAGTGAAAATCACACACATGATCGCTCAAACCGTTTCGAAACAATCATTGATCGAATGTTGCACACAGGATCTCTTACTTTCTCTTCCCTTCTCTTTCTATACAGTATATAATTCGGTCACTGACAAAACACCATCTAATTCACTTTGATTTGCACTGACACGCTCATTTATTCAGCAAATTATGAAAAGATTCATGCTGATTGTGACATTCGGATACACGATAGTCTAACACTGAATTCATCTAGATTTATTATCTTGACGAAACACAGAAATTAGACAGTGATTAAAATAGCAATAATCGTGTGGAGATTAGTTAATGTTATACAATATGTTATATAGTGAAATAGTGTGTGGGTAAGGTGTAAGGTGAAGTGGACCAGTGGATATTAAACATATTGATAAACAGTGTTGAATAG